TTTTACTTCCTTGCACTGTAATTAAGTATTTATCTGATTAATAATATAGCAGGGGTATGTTGTTTACATCGATTTCTCCTACACTCTAGGGTCGCCCGCGAGGCGCAGTGGTTAGAGCGTCTGCTCTAGAGTCGCGGCGGAAGGAGTTGATCCTTACGTCGCGGGTTCGAATCCCACTGTGGGACGTGGAGACCGGTCCTTCGGATGAGACCGTATAAACCGAGGTCCCGTGTCGCAGTAGGTGCTGGCACGAAAAAGATCTTTCACTGCTCAATGGCCGTAAGTGCCGAGAATAGGACAAAATTTGCAGCTCTCCATCGGCAAGTGGTGGCGTCTCCATATGAGTGAAAAATTCTCGAAAGGGACGTTAAACGACAAACAAACAAACATAGACTCTAGGCCACACCCCCATTTTGCAAGCCCATTTTTTATATGAGCGCATGGCCCGCGTGGCGCAGTGGTTAGAGCGTCTGCTCTAGAGTCGCGGCGTAAGGAGTTGATCCTTACGTCGCTGGTTCGAATCCCACTGCGGGACGTGGAGACCGGTCCTTTGGATGAGGCCGTATAAACCGAGGTCCCGTGTCGCAGTAGGTGCTGGCACGAAAAAGATCCCTCACTGCTCAATGGCCCTGAGTGCCGAGTATAGGTCAAAATTTGTAGCCCTCCACTGGCAAGTGGTGGCGTCTGCATATGAGTGAAAAATTCTCGAAAGGGGACGTTAAACAACAAACAAACAAACATATATGAGCGCATGGATTTTTCAAGTTGTCGTAAATACGGTCAATATAAAGAGTAATACCAGTCATTTACATTCATGAATGAAATTGAAACAGTGTTGCGCTTACTTGTTATTTTCCAAAAAGGTGCGAAATCACGGGTGCTTGTCTCCATAGTAAAGGCACCTTGTTTACAAATTTCAACCCGTCTTTGACCTCATGAATAACAAAGCACTGAACACGTGACTCAAATATATTCACTTTCATGCTTTGAGCACACCTATGCGACATCTTGTCTAGCTTCTGCGAGCTATCGATGGTCAAATTATTTTCAGATGGGTAATTGGAATTCTGGGAGAAAACTTTGTGTTAAAATTTTTAACGCTATTTCAATCGATTTTGTTTGATTTGTTTCCGTTATCTATCAGTTTATATTGGAGGCCTGTAGCATATAGCTTGCACTTACTGCTTGTGTCTCATGATACAGAATTTTAAAATTTGAATAACTGTGGGGATATATTATACATTTGCCTTTGTTCCTAAATATACATCAGCGCTACGTTCATTGACTCTTGGAAGATATGAAAGATTTTTTTTTCAGTTAAAACTGTCATTAATTTTACAGATCGTTATTTAAAAAATACCAATTCATCATATCTTTAGAAAAATAACTGTTTGTTACAAGTGCTCAAATGCGTACTTCCAATTGAAGAAATCTTAAGGGAAAGAAATTAAAGTACGGAGCGCTAAAAAGAATGAAAAGTCACTGGATGAATACATTAAAATTGCACAAAATACACCCCTAATTTGAATAGAGGGAAGCTTCAGGTTTCTTCTGACGACACTGCAAATGCTATAACTTTTTACATCAGCACATTTTTTTAGATCACGTAAAAAGTCCATGTTCGCAGGTATTTTTAAAGCATAATATTTAAAAGCAAGAAAGTGCACTTCTATGACCCATTCACATGTCCGATCAACGTATAATTAAAGTTTTAGATATTAGTAACAAAAATCAATATAATGAAAAAGGGCGTTAAAAATATCTTGAAGTGATTTATTATTTTTCTTACTACAGGGCGAGAGTTTGTTAAAATGAAAATGTACACGAGTCGATTTCGACAATTAATGAATTCCTAAATGAGGAAGATCATATTAACTTGTCTGGCATGAATAAACAGGATTTTTTTGAAACAATGCAATGTGGACTGTACAAAGTACACTGACACAGATGTTTCTTTATCCATCAGCGATGATACTGACGTTAAACTGACGTTTTAATTTTCACTTTCTAACGATTTTATTTTTATACACAGAGTGAAGTTTTATATCATAATTCAACCCCTTATGTGTGTTTGTTGTAGCACTCGAATTTGGCAAAATTACATACATGCTATGAAATAAATTCTAATTATACACGTAAATGTAATAAGCTTTAATGGATTAATTATCTCTTTAAAAATAAGGTTTCTTAAAAGTGTGAAAAAAGTGTATCCTGCGTTATGCGTTCAGTTAACAAATTCCATATAAATAATTTGACGAATTTCTAATAAATCATTTCAAGTATAACTCGTAAGTTAAGCAGAAAAAAACAAGGTTAAGCCTGCCAAATTAAAAATGTATGCTTGTATTTGGTCGGTCTCGAGCACTAAAAACTAAAAAAGAGGGGATTAAGGTGTCGGTTAATCATAAAACATAGTACATCTCGAACACACGCTAATGTATTCGTACTAATCGCACGCTTGATAGACTCTCGGCCTTCTCATTCAAATAATACAATGACCTTCATAGCTATAATGGCGAAGCCGGGATTTTACAGTGAAGTATACGAGTTTATTTAATCGATATAATGTATATATTGAAAGTCTTTCCGAAAAAAATCTTTTATAAGTATCTATACAGACTATGCTTGAAGACTTTAGCTACAATATAACAATGTTCTGATTTAAAAGGGTAAAATTCTGCATTTAAAAAGGGGCGAGAAAGCAGTGTTATGAAGATTCATTCTTTAGGGAGACTCTCACAGAAACTTTATTACATAGTGCCGTTGTGCACTTTCTTTTTATCGTTTCGAGAGATATTTGGGGTTTCCCATAGCAAAACATTCTAAAATATTCGGGAAACCCATCTCTCGTCCGCAACTTCTCCCACACCACTAAATAATTATTAATGAGACTTTAACAGAATCTTTATTGCGAAGTGCCATTGTGTATTTTTTTCTTTTACATTATTTGGGATTTTCCCATAACAAAAAGTGGAATTTGCCATTATACTCATATGAGAGCTAAGGATATCATTTTGTGAGCTCAGTGCTCACAGTATCTCAAGCTTAAACTGAGACCCATATACGTAAAATATTTGCTATACATGTATTTAACATGTAGACATGGCATACTAAGTGTGTTATAACCATTGCTGAATACCATTTGTAAAATGTGGAATGTTTTAAACCAAAATGAAACCCGTCATAGGTGATGATGATATTCTTAACTCTGCAAACTTATTAACTAAGGATCTTGAAAAAATAAAACAGTGGTCTAATACATGGGCAATAGAATTCAATCCTAGTAAAACTGTTAATTTAGATTTTAGCAGGAAAAACTTTTGCCATCCAAAAATTAGATTTGGTGTAGATGGGCCTACTATTCAAAATGTTGAAACACATACTCATTTAGGGATAAGATTTCAGCAGGATGGTAATTGGAGATCCCACATACTTGATATTCATTCCAAAGCCTGTAATCGATTAAATATCTTAAGAATGTTAAAGCACACCCTTAAGCGGGATGCTTTGATAAAAATATATTTTGTTTTTATTCGTCCTGTTCTTGAATACTCAGACATTGTATGGGATAATTGTACTGATAGAGATGCAAAATTACTAGAAGATGTTCAAGTTGCAGCTGCACGAATAATAACAGGCTTAAGGACTAATTCATCAAGATCAAAGCTTTATGAAGATCTTGGCTGGGATACACTTGAAATAAGAAGAAAAATACATAAACTAGTGTTATTTTATAAAATAGTGTATGGATTAGCTCCCCAGTATTTGCAAGATTTATTACAACAATGCATTTTACCACATAATTCTTATCCTTTAAGGAATCAGGACAATCTTACATTTCATATTCCTCAAGCCAAAACGACTTCATTTATGAAAAGTTTCCTTCCTTCAACTATAAGACTTTGGAATGATTTACCCTTTAATATTCGAAACCTTTCTACACTTTCATCATTCAAGACTGCCATTAAGAATATATACTGCTTAAAACCTAAGAAATATTACAACTATGGAAGTCGTAAAATGAATATATTACATTGCCAATTGCGAAATAATGCTAGTAATTTAAATGCTGATTTATTTAATCATTTTTTAAGGGAAGATTAAAATTGTGACATGTGCGGATATAGCTCTGAAACATCATTTCACTTTTTTATGAAATGTCCAAAATATTGTGTACAAAGGCAAAAACTTATGCAAAACTTTAATACTTTGCAATTACCAATGCCTATATCCTTACAACTTATTTTGAATGGAGACAATAATCTTACTTACAACCAAAATATTGCCGTATTTAAAATTGTTCAAGAATTTATTGCATCTACAAAGAGATTTGCATGAGATTTACTCTTCTTTTTTTTGATTTTGTCAAACCACAGAACCAACATTTATTTATGTGTTCTTATTAACTTTCACATTTATACTTGTATTATTATAATTATCAGTCATATATGTTAAATGCAAACTTATATAGTATCATCAGCTCATTTATATTTTTTTCCCTTACTTATTTTGTCTTCTTTATATGTATATACATGTATATGTGTGTATGTATGTGTATATACCCGGTATATATATATATATATATATATATATATATATATATATATATATATATATATATATATATATATATATATATATATATATATATATATATATATATATATGTATGTATATGTGTTTGTGTATGTGTATGTGTGTATATGTATATATATATGTATATAAATCTCTTTAGAATATACACATGTATATATTTTTTCAATGTTATGTAATTAATATTTACTTGTAACATGTATGACTTGACCTGTATTGTGGAGAGGACTTATATAGGCAGTGCCTGCTGTCCAATCCAGTTATGTTTAATCATAATAAAATATTGTTTAAATTAAAATGAAACCCGGAGAGCTACAGTCTCAACAGAGACTTCTTAACCCCTTTTCTGTCACATCAAAACAAGTTAGATTCTTCAAAGAATTCAAACTTTTGAAATTTTTTTTCAGCCAGCACGCAAAGTTACGTGGACGTTATAAATGCAGGAATCCAGCAGTTTACAGACTACACGTGTTTAAAATGGGTTCCCCAAGGCTCCACCGAGGCCCAGAAACTTACCCATAGTTCCTACATCGAGTTCTTCTCTGAAAGGTACTGATATTTTTGGCACTTGCGTGATAATCCTTGCTTTTAGTTAAATATTTTATTTTTGTTGTAATTATCAAAATTATTTTGGAGAGCACATATTTGTCTGGTTTCGATGAATATTGATGTAAATTAGTGGAGATGGAATTTTCAAATCCGTTTTATATAACGATGTACTGGTGAAACTCCTATGTCTTTTTCGCGGGATCTATGAAGTAAACCGATAATTGTCTGAAGTCAAAATTTTAAATTGGTCAAAGCAATGAAATATTTCTTTAAAAAGTCAAAGTATCCATGCTGAGTTGATTGGAATATATGTATAAATGACTAGTAATTAATTATTATTATTCCATGGTTTGACACTTAGAAAAAATACGGAATATTTGATTTCAATCTATCTTAAGTTTAAGGTCACGTCACCTGTCTCATTTTATTAATGTAATACAAATATTTTATTTCCTTTACAGTGGATGTTGGTCTTACGTGGGAATGGTTTTTTCAGGAAAACAACAAGTTAGCCTTCAGGCGCCTGGATGTGTTTCAGTAATGCTAATCACTTTATCTTTTTCGGAAGTTTTATTTTTGAAATGTATAAAATAAATTTATTCAGAAGTTTAATCATATTAGGTGGTATTATTTTTGTCTGGAACTCATGTTAAAAAAATGAAAAAAAAATTTCAGCTTTCCACAACAGTTCATGAAATGACACATGCTATAGGCCAAATGCATGAACAATCCCGAAGTGACCGTGATAATCATGTCACCATGTTGTGGGCGAATACACAGGGTGGAACAGGCAACTTTAACATGGCAAAAAGCACTACCCACGACTACAACCCATACGACTACGAATCAGTTCTTCAGTATAGTTTAACGGTCAGTTCCTTCATTTTTTCTGAATAAAAATATGTCATTAAAGTACATTTATTCACGGATTATCTTTTCAAGAATCGACGTCAAAATCGATCTGTTTCTTGAATACATATATATCTGTCATGAAACAACTTCATTCTTATTTTGTTTCAAATAACATTTCAGATGTTTTAGTGTATAAGTCCAAGAAATAAAAATACATGCAATATTCGTTTTTATCCTCTTCATTGCAAAATAGACCTTCTGTCGACCATTTATGCATATGTTACACAGCACCCTTAAGATATAATTCTCATTATTTTTTTATACAGGCATTCTCCACTAATGGCCAACCGACAATGGAATTTCATGACCGCCGATTGGATTTCTTGGCTGACTCAGCAACTGGTCTTATGTTTTATGACATCCAGGACATTACTGATGCATATGATTGCACTAGTAAGAAAAATATATTTTAGCCCCCTTGGCCCAAAAACTGTCATGTGTTGTCTGTAAACTTTTCAGTTGTTTAACTTTCTTCCTCCAGAACTATGTAGCCGAATGTAACCAAAACTTGTCATCTAGGGATTCCAGTTTGTTAAACAAAGAGCCCGTCCTCTTTTAAGGGAAGATAATTGAAAATATTTTATTATACCTCTGTTAAAAATACTCAGATTTGATTGGCTTGTTAGAAGGCTTTTAAACTCAATAATGACTCCAGAAAGTACCATTTACAGCAATAATGACCTAGGAATCATTGCACGTGGGGTATAATGACCCGGTCATTATAAATAATGACCACTAAAAATGACCTGTTGATCTAAATTGCATTCAAATTAAAAATTTACGCATAAAGTAATGATTGTTCATTAAAAAAAAAGCCGTTATAAAAATACGTATAATCTTTTTCTGATACAGAATACGGTTGGCCTTTTAGATGCGTCATAATACAATGTCAAATTCAATGAATGCAGACTCGGCATGTGAAATGAAAAAGTTATGACGTCTGGCTTGTACAACCTCATAAAATCATTATTATACAGTGTGATAAATATTATATACAAAAAGAATCTTCTATACACATATTAAAGAATAAGCAATCAAATTTTTATATCCATATTGGCATTTTTTATTTGCTTCAATATACATGTATACATTTAATAATTCTACAAATCAAGGGGGGGGGGGGTCTGACCCCCGAACTGCGCATGCTCTTCTTTTTTCCCTAAGCGGATAACACAAATTCTCTGAATTAGCTTGTAAAATATATTTTATGAATTTTTTTGGCATAATGATATGCATGCTCGAGCATACAAGCATACATGGTAGCTACGCTACTGGTGGTTTCAATTGACGATCACTTATACAGACTCACTATGTACGTGACATAACAACAAGTATCACCTCATCCTTAATTTTAGAACCGTGCAGAGGTCCAAACAATGATGTCCCCCTGAAGCAGTGTCAGAATGGAGGATTTGTCCTACATACCTGTGATTGTCATTGTCCGGAGGGACTTACTGGAACGCTGTGTGAAACAACTGTAACTGATCCAGGTAATAAATTTATTAAGACTCATTTAGACTTTGTCTAATATATCCTTTGCACAGAATTTTATCACAATATCTGGGCCTGTAAGTCCACTTGATCAGTAAAGACAAATATTCTAAAGCCAAGCCTATGAGATACATGTTTATACTTTAGTGTGTTTGTTTGATTTTCACAGTATTGTCATGGTAACTAAACTAAAACAGCTTTATTCCTCGTACAAATTTGTTCTAATTTTAGTAATGTTTGGAGAACAAGTTTATGAACCATGTTACACATTAGAATTTCAGTTTAATTTTAAAGCCGAGGCAGGCTACTGAAAGAAAAGTTGATGTTACATGCATATCAATATCTTTGTTTAACGTCAGCATTTCGTATATTTTATGGTCATTATTATATCTTTGTTAGCAAATATAACCTATCGTTTGGGTCGTTTTTTGACTGGCATATTTCAAATCAATTGTTAGACCTTTGTTTTCATAAATTTGTTTTCATAAATTTGACTAAGTAAAATTCCGTATACCTGATCAATAAATAGGGCTTACGTCAGTGTGACCATTCGACAAGGAGTGCTTACTCCTTCTCCTAAACACATGATCCCATCTCTGGAATATCCGGGGTCATGCCCTCTACGCAGATATAAATTGTTTTTAGGTTTATTGTGGGATTGATCACTCATCCTTATCTTAATTCACCTTGTTAATAACGAGCGCAGCGAGCAGCGCGAAGCTGCTTCTCGCGAAGCGAGCTCAATAGACTAACGTGTCAGAACAGAGGAAATTCGGAATGAAATCTGTACATACGTCAACCAAATTTTCTTGTGCAACATTCCCAGAATTCCTTCGCTACCAGGGTTCCATGCGAAATTATTAAAAACATACAAATAGACCAAGAATAATTGTTCTTTACCAAGAGATTTGTTTACTTTTATTCCTTTGCAGAGAGCTTAAAAGAAACAAAAAATAATTGTATCAACTCTACAACGTATTACATTTATTATTGCACAAGACCCTGTAGTCTCGTTCAACCATACGTTCCGACGTCATGTGACGTCAAAGTCTAGACTATAGTATGTCTCGTGCGGTTTGAAGTTTGAAGAGGCGGATCCATCAACGTTACGAGTGTAAACTGTGTATAGGTTTTTGACGGTACTTTGTTGCTGTGCTCACCCAAACGGTCACACCGTAAAACATATTACTTCTTGTTAACTACAGTCTCAGCAAATACTTCTGGCCAGCTACTTCTTAGGAAATTACTTTTGAACCCAAAGAATATGAAAAGTCATACCGTTCGTGATACAAAGAATTTTGTTTTACAGCTTGTGGTGGTATAGTAAACTTAGCTGAAGGAGAAACCCAGACAATAACAACGCCTAATTTCAACAATGGAGGTCCATATCCCACCGGTAAAAACTGTGTCTGGTTAGTGAAGGTGGGTAAAACGAACCTTTTAGGTTATTTTCTCTTGTCCATTTCGTAATAGCGAAGCGCCGCTCGTCACTGCGAGCTCTAACGACAACGCCTGGGCGAAGAGAAAATTCGGACTACTGCACATTCATTCAATAGAATTTTTTTCCGCAGTAAGTCTGGACCCACAATGCATCGCTTGTTGTTCTCGCTCTATACTTCGTTCACGCGGTGAAAACAACTAAAAATTCACAAAAAATAACAGATGGTAGATTAAACGTTCTTTGTTAAAATTTTTGCACTTTTCAAACTTCGTTTACGGAAATGCAGATACCATACGACGTCATGTGAGTCACAGTCTAGACGTTCCAAATGTCTCGTGCGGTTTGAAGAGGCGGATCTTAAAATTAAGTGAAGAATGCGCTCGCCCCAACGGTCGCACCGTCAACATATTAGAATATTGATAGCGAGCACAGCGGCACTGCGAGCTCTTAAATCAACGCCTGGGCAAATAGAAAAAATTCGGACTTTGCGTTGATCCAAACGAATTTTTTTCCTCAGTAACCTGTGGTCCCATAATGCTTTGCGAATTGCATCTCGCCCTAAACTACGTTCTCGCGGTAGCAACAAAAGTTCAACAAAAAGTAAAATTAAATTGATTTAATTGATATTGCAGAAAAAAACAGTAGATTAAATATTCCTTGTTAAAACTAGCACTTTTCAGGCTTCAATTTGGTAAAGCAACTTACATACGACGTCATGTGACGTCAGAGTCTAGATCGACGTACCAAATGTCACGTGCGGATTGAAGAGCCCGATCTAAATTAAAACTGAATAGGTACATGTATGTATCTGCGCCCGCCCTAACGGTCGCACTGTCAACACATTATGAATGAAGTTAATTTGTGTAAATGAGCTAAGTCTCTTGATATTTAAAAAGCTACATATCCTAGTTTTAACATGCACACATTTTTTATACATGTATTAATGTTTTTAAGAAGCTTTGGTCAATTCCTGTTTTCTTATTTGTTACCAGATAGAGTATTTTCATATAATAATCGGCGTTTTCCCTAATAATATTAATTATGTTCCCAAAACCAAGTTTGGAACATATTGTTTTTACTCTATTTCTCCTTATTATTCTAATTTTTTCGAATTTCTTCTGCAGTATGTATTGTAGAGTGTTCTCGGAAATACATCCTTGAAATTTAACATAAAGATATATAAAACTAGATGAGATCTCGTTGCGAGCAACGAGTGAGTCTTCCGTCCGATAATTGATAATATGAGATTAGAATTTGACAGAGATTTTCGTTGAAATATATAGTTGTAAATTATCTAGATAAACTATTTTGCTTCAGTAATATATTACAAAATATTGATCGTTAAAAAGTTATTGATGAAAGACTTTTGGCCCTCTCGGTCCCTATTTTGAGGGACCAGCCCCTTTTTCTTGTTATCACCTTAAAGCTCTCATGATTTTGAACTCCGTTTGTTCAACAACTATTCAGAAATTCTTTTTCGTCTCTGAGATATTTGCAAAAGATACATTTAGGAGCTGGCCCTTCAACTCATTAATGGGGAGGATTAGTTGTCTGTTTGTCTGTAAACAGTTTTTCATAATGTTATTATATATTATATATATTAAATATAGTTTTGGCGCTATTCCAATATAACTTAGTATGCAAGTTTACTACATAAGACAACAGATTCTCTTAATCATTTTTTTATTTGACGAAGGGAGTTGCCAAGGCTACTTAAAAGAAATTTGTGTGAAGATATTTCAAAATCGTCTTCCGCCTACGGTTTTGATCCGTTTTCTATAAAACGTTTTACAAAAATATACCAAACACATTTTTTGGTTTTTGATTTTGATAAACGGTGTTGATATGGTTACTAAAATAAAAGTTTTTGTGAATTTTTTTCTAAAGGCTTTTCCTTCTACAGAAGTACATGTAGTTGAGATGAAACTTGCCTTAAAAAGAGACCAAACTGAGGATCATTATAATTGTATTCATTGCTGTGGCCATATTTTCAAGTCAATGTGCGAATTTTTTTTCCATATTTTTCAATCAGATTTCTTAGATGTATAAATAGTGAGACGCTGTGGGAGATATGTACATGCATGTGTGATTTAGAAAACCGTGTATATTCATGAACTAAAGTATGATTGGCTTTATCAGAATTGCTTTCCGAAAAATTACCTTTCAAAATAAAATGTAGATCTATAATGCAAAAGTATTTCCTACATACAACGTAAAGAAAGCCGTTTTGGGGATATCTGTCAGGGTTATCGTTACAATTAGCTTACAGTTAGTTCTAAAGGTAGATATGTATAATATAACTTACCTTTAAACCTTGATTCTCAAAAAGTAGAGTCCATACATTTTATAAATTTTTCAGGGTCCGGATGGAAAAAATGTTCAAATGACCATAACGGAAATGGATTTAACTACGCAAAATGGAGCGTGTAGCCACTGGTTAGAAATACAGTATAACCTGCTAGGACAGACTGGACCGAGGTAAGACGTGTATCAAAACAGGCTGTTAGGGGTTTTAGCTCACCTGAGCTGAAAGCTGAATTAAATGAGCTTTTCTTATCACTCGCTGTCCGTCTGTCCTTCCGTCCGTCTGTAACTTCACATTTTCAACTTCTTCTCGAGAACCACTGTCCCAATTTTAATCAAATCTGGTACCAAGCATTCTTAGGTGAAGAGGAGTTTAAATTGTTAAAATGAAGGGTCAAGTCCCTTTACAAGGGGAGATAATCAAGAAAATATAAAAAAATAAGGTGGGGTCATTAAATAATCTTCTTCTCAAGAACCACTGGGCCAGAAAAGCTGAAACTTAATAAGGAAGCATCCTTGCATAGTATATTCTAAATTATTCAAATCATGCCCCCAGGGGTAGGTTGGGGCCACAGTAGAGAATCAAAGTTTTACATTGATCAAAATATATAGAAAAAAATCTTTTAAAATCCTGAACCACTGGGCCAGAAAAACTGAACTTATGTGAAAGCATCTCTTCGTAGTGTAGATTCCAAATTCTTTTAATCATATCCCCTGGGGGTAGGGTGGGGCCACAATAAGGAATAAAAGTTTTACATTGAAATATATATGCAAAATCTTTAAAAATCTTCTTCTCAAGAATCACGGGGCAAGAAAAGCTGAAACTTACATGGAAGCATCCTGTGGTAGTGTAAATTCTAAATTGTTCAAATCGTAGCCCCTGGGGGTAGGGTGGGGCCACAATAGGGAATCAAAGTTTAACATTGAAATATATAGGAAAAATCTTTCATATCTTCTTCTCAAGAACCGCTGGGTCAGAAAGGCTGAAACGTACATGGAAGCATCCTGGGGTAGTGTTAATTCTAAATTGTTCAAATCATTGACCCCAGGGGTAGGGTGGGGCCACATTAGGGAATCAAAGATTTACATTGAAATATATTGGGAAAAAACTTTAAAAATTGTCTCCTCAAGATGGAACTTATGTGGAAGCTTCCTTAGGTAGCGTAAATTCTAAATTATTTAAACCATGATCTCTGGGAGAAGGGTGGGACCACAATAGGTATTACAAGGGGGGAAATCTGGTGGAGAACAGCAGGGCCAAAGTTACTCAGGTGAGCGTTGTGGCCCATGGGCCTCTTATTATGAGAGTGTTTTGTGTAGTGCTTTGAAATACAATTTATTCAATCATCTTTTGAAATAACAAAAACATTGTAGGCATAAACTGTAATATTCTTTTAAAAATACAAATAGATTTAAAATTCTGACAGATATCTTCTCCAAGATACTCAATCTTTTATAAGAGAAGAAAAATGAAAATATGCTAATTACATGTGAACTGATTTTTTCAGACGCTGTGGAACAGTCAGCAATGAGGTTTATGTGTCCTCAGACAATGGCGACCCTACAACAATGTTACTGAAATTTGACAGTACTTTTGCTTCTACTGTATCAGCTGGCAAAGGTTTTTCTCTAGCAGTGACAACCGTTGGTCTGCGTAAGTATGAAAGGCTGAGGTGTATTAGGTGGTCTGAACAGCCAATGGCCAGTGTCACAGTTGCCTTTAATAGTTGGGTCTGTGATCCACATATTCTGGCCCCACCCTACCCCCAGGGAATCTTGATTTAAACAAACATGAATCTCCACTATCTGAGGGTGCTTAAATATCAATAGAACTAATTATTGCTTTGCCTCTCTTGAGAAGATTGTTTTTTTTTTAAAATCCTACATATTCCTATGAAAATCCCCCATTGTGGCTCCACCATACCCCTGGAGGTTCATAATATGAACAAACTTTAAGATACACTATCTGAGGATGCTTCCATATCAATATGACTAATCATGGCTTTGCTGTTCTAGAGAAGAAGATTTTAAAGATTTCTTTCCCTTTTGTTTCCCTTTTTACACCTATAAAAAAAATACGACACACCATTCTGCCCCCACCCTACCCCAGGGGATCTTGATTTGAACAAATCTTTGAATCTTTACTGCCAATCAACTTATCAAACTTATTTGACTTATCAAAATTTTCGACCTCCGTTTGACCCCCAGTGTGAAAATAAAAATTCTGAAACCTACTTGCAAATCTACAGGACACCAAAAGATGATTAGGCTACTGCATAAAACTTGTTTGTCAATAACTTTCTTGTTTTAGAAATTGTTCATACATAGAGCAAGCTCATGCGTATCGAGTCAACTGAGAGATATAAACCCCGTATGCAGGTGAGGACGGTATATTACTGCATAAGTAAGGGAAGTTGACGATTGAAAAGTTAAAGTAATCACGTTTATCATAAAGCTTGGTTGTTAGGTTACTATTAACGTCTTTTCCTAGTAAAATATCCAAATATGAAACAGATGTGTCAGACTTTGTGGTATCTTTTATTTCAAGCTCACCGGTATATATCGTATCGACATAAGAATGGAAATGACCATTGTTAATTGACAATACGTCATCGATATATTTAAATGTCGAGTTGAGGACCACAGCAAGTGATTTCTTCTTTTCATGTATAAGATTTCAAACAAGTTCTGCGATTTTTCACAATTTGGATACAATTAAAATTTCTATGTCTGGTCAGAAGTTTTATGTTTAGTTCCAATGTTCTTGCATTATTATCTAATGTGTCATTATTCTTTTTTTTTTTTGGTCATGATACACAAAACAACACTCCACGAAAAAGCGGGGGGGGGGGTCATTTTAATTTTCCCGCGCCGGAAGTGGTCATACTGCAGGTTGCACAACAGTATTAAATTTTGCTATATATTCTTACCAAAAATGCGCAACTTTGAGTAGGTAGTATTAATTGAAAACAAACTTTTGAGAAGTTTCCTTTTCAGATCTTGTAAAACAATTCTTTATAAAGATTTTAGTACCAAAAAATACATAGCCATCCAGCAAGGCACGCAAGTTTGTCTCGCTCGAAGTCGAGCAGGTGCTTGAAATTCAAGTCCAGGACCTAATCACTCCCCACTCAAATACAATATATAGGAAATTCAGCACGCCCTAAATTTTAATGAATCTAGTCAATATAGGAAGTTTACATATTGTTTTTCATCTCATAAAAAAATTCAGCTCCAGTCTCGTGTATAGAATGTAGGGAAAAGACACCCCTCCCCCTTCTGACGTCTTTTTAACCCTTTTTAACCTCGTGTTAAAATGCCCGAATCGGAAGGGAAGATTCAGGTATTATTTTGCGTCAGCCATGATTTGACGTGAACCTCAAGTGAAATACTGTTATGACACCTGCATATACCTTACCAATAATTTACATGATCAGATCTGTGTCAAAATCAAACGATCAGGATTGGTTTGATTGCTCTAGAATTATTTATTTTTATATTTGCATGAGGTTACGAGGGGTCATCAAAAAGTTCGTGGACTGATGCGAAAATATAAATACTATGCAGTCGGTGCTTATAAAATTTATAAAGAATATAAAGCAACAAAAGATTAAGTGGTGTTGAAAATCTTAACCTGATACTTTACATATTTGCCAAATTATCATTAAATACAAAATACTTCATATGATTACCCGGCATTGTCGCCTTTGAGTTCCATAACGTCCGACAACGTCATTGTTTCTCAATGTCCTTTTCCATAAAACACTTTAATTTCTTGATGGGATTCCCTGGAGTTAAGTAAGGGCTGAAACCCTTTATAGTATCATGAACAGGTGGTTTCAATGCATAATATTGTAAATGGATCTCTACACTGAGAAAGATACTCACTTGATTATGTCAGCATAATTGTTTGTTGGAGTTTCATGTCAACCGCACATGAGCAACGTCGCTTTTCGACGTGACTGACTTTGGACACCCGGAATAAAAATCGACAATTAAGTGTGTGTCTCTTCTCTCTCTGAATCCTTTTTGGTAAATTTAAAAACAGATATACTTGAAGCATTCTTTTTCTCTGTAGCTATTCAAACATTTTATAGGTCTATGCCAGTTTTTCCAGGGGGTAAAACTTTATAGAATGTAGGGAAAAGACACCCCTCCCCCCTTCTGACGTCTTTTTAACCCTTTAATTGTTTGGTCATTCCATATAGAATTTACGATAAGATTTCATAAAACTTCAAGAATGAGGTAAAAATTGCCAATTTTAGGTAGCAATAATATCACACGAGTGTATTAGTGTGATTGTTGGATAAAAAATGCACATATCAAAAGAATTTTTCTCCGTTAGACTCGAGTAGAAAATACGTCGTATTTTGAGGTTGCGCCGCCTTGTCATACCATTGCTTACTAAAACATATACATTTAAAAAAAAACAGACTTACGAGCTATAGTTTATTCTAAAGATAAAAAAGATAATGCTTATTAAATGTGTAAAAAATGTATAGATGTACCTACAGCTGTTAAATTGTATGGCGCTAGTCCACGAACTCTTTGATACAGCTGATCTTTGATTCTCTCGGTTTGCACTTGCATGCTGTCATACTGAGCATCCGCACAGACCATTGGCTATTTAATCAGCCATACGACTATAGCCCTCCATTATTCGATTAGGCGCTCCGAGTGAAATTAACATATTATACAATAAATCATCATATTTAAGCATGGACCATTATTTTTTTTTTAAAGATATAGTCTCATAACCGCAACTGTGTATGCAAACAAACTGAGTAACGCGCTTTATGAAAATTTGTTTGTACACACCGTTCCAGTTATGAGAATACATCTTTCAAAAAATAACGGTTCAATGCTTACATTTACGTTTTTTAACTTTAACTTGCCTTTATTACAAATGTGATTTATATTTCAAAATCCTGTATTATCTTTCGGGTAAGTTACAATTAATGGAAGACCATTGCAACAGCTTCTGTTCAATGTGAACGTGAATTTTGATTTTCGCTTATGACGTTGCTCTTGCACAGCATTCAACATTGTGATGTCAAAATAAAATGCATACTTTAACTTTTTGAACCCCGTCCGTGTTATGGTGTTTTGAATGCCGTCGTTTTCCACACACTATAAAAGCAAAATAATCGCGGAATGTAAATATTTTTTACTCGTAGACAAAACAGTGAGACTTAAGATACATGCTTTGTTTAATAAGTGGATTTGTTTTGATACTTTTCAGCCTGCAAGTCACAGCCTTGTAAGCATGGGACATGTAATGAAGTCGGTGATAGTTATACCTGCACTTGTGATCCGAATTACAGTGGACAACATTGTGATACGCTTACTGGTATAGTTTTGCTGCAATTACCATTATAATTTTATTCAATATATTAATACTTTTATGATGTTGATCTGTTGCTTAACTGAAGCTTTTCAGGATAATCATTTGATGATTATGAATCTTTCTGAGGTTATTTCTTGTTCAGTAGTAGAGTCATACAAAAAATCATATAGATTTTTTACAGAACAGTATATGAATTAATACTTATTTAGAAAATTACGAAAATAATTAGTATATATACGACAAATTCTAAAAAAAGAACAAAAAGAACATAAACGATCTGTTATGAGGATTGCTAAAGTTTCAGTTGTTTTTTAAATAAAATTCAACTAGTGAACTAAGTATTCAGAGAAAATTTCTTTTTAGTATAAAATACTGACATTATGACAAACAAAGCTTTTCTGCAGAAGGTACTTAAAAAATAAAAATGGAGATAAGACCCACTTATATGGAAAAATTATGTTATAGTATGAAGAAATGGTCATTTTTGCCCTATTTGATGTGTTCGTGCGATTTCTTAGAGTTGAATTTTCCAGTTGATTTTTTTAAGAGGTAGTTTTGTAAAGATGCCTTTTAGGACAGATCTGCTCTTAAGTTGCAGTTCAAATCTTTTGAAAGATTCGGAGAATCAAAAATAAATCACTATCACCAATGTTCCTGTCTTATTTACTAGTAATTGTCATCTCCCTTGGGAGGAGATGACATATCAAGTTTAAAAGCCGGAAGTGAAGTTTTAGTGAAAGCTGACATTATTTAGCTACAGTGCAAGTGGTCTGACAAATAAAAAACGATTAGGAAACTCTGTATTATTAAGGTCCGACGACACGTTCATCAATAATATATAATTTTTTCCAAGAATTTATCATTGAAATATTGCTACTTTAACAATTTTCCTCACAAAAAATTAAGGTACCTTACCGGGCATCTGTGTAAGATCCCAGAGGATGCTATTTAATATATAATCCTATTGGAAATCACTAGGCTAAGTATTCCCAATGTCAATTTTTTGGTGTCTTTATCTACAAGTTAGACATTTTGAAAACAGTTTAAAAATCACAGACAATGATGATGATGATTAATTTGTTGTATATTACGAAGAGATATAAAACAGATATTCGAGCAACGTGTCGTCAGACCTTAACTGGTGGTTGTGGCAATTGTAAACTGATATGATAACGCGATTTCTAAATATAGAATTCAATAAGGAAGCGAACTATCTTTGTTTGCATAACGTCCCTTTCGAGAATTTCTCACTTATATTGAGACGACACCATTTGCCGGTTGAAGGCTGCAAATGTTAGACCTATACTCGGCGCTCAGGGCCACTGAGAAGTGAGGGATCTTTTTCGTGCCAATTTACTCACTGCGACACGGGACCTCGGTTTTTACGGTCTCGTCCGAAGAACCGGTCTCCACGTCCCTCAATGGGATTCAAAACCCGAGACGTAAGGAACGACTCCTTACTCTTCGATTCCAGTAAAAACGCTTTAATGCGGCAAATGAACTATGAAATCAAATTCAAGGAAAATCTAGCTAGGGAAAAAAAGAACGATACACACAAGTATTATATTAATGTTGATTATTGTGTGGACTCTGAAGCAAAGTTAAACACGATTTTATTGGGAAAAAATAAGTTATGGTCCATTCACCCTCTTCCTAAAATTGTCAATCTCCTCCTACAAGTCTTAAGATTGTGGATGTCGTATTTAACTTTTTATTTGCTAGTGTGCATGTATCCATGTTCCAGATCTCCCATTATATGTATATGTAAAGATATCTCAACTGATAATTATTTCTATCATAGTTGTGCATGATATAGTACAGTGAAAGTATTTATAATACCAGTTTAAAATGGAGAGTGCCTTTGGTACAAACAACGTATAAAAAATAAACAAATAATTGCTCCATAACTAAAATAATGATTATTTGAAAATTACAAAATATTTAATGGTTATCCTTTAAAAGGAAGATGGGGCTTATTCATTGGGGACAATATTGTGCATCATATATAGTTTTTTAACTAAGACAGCCGCGCGAGGTTTTATTTGTCTTTTATCTCAAGGAAAAGAACACTGGTGTAGACTGAATTTTAATTCATCTTAATTTTTAATAAATTAATCTTAATTCTGAGCCTTTGCGAACCATTTCACATAAAGGATACTAGTAGTACATGGGTGATTCCCTTACAATCTTTCGTAAGGCTTATTAATTGCCTACCGGTGAAACCGAAGGGGACTATAGGTTTCCTCTGAGTCTGTCCGTCTGTCTGTCTGTCCCTCTGTCTGTCTGACAGTCTGTCCCACTTGGTTTCCCGCACTTTTTTTCCTAAAAGCTTGCAGATATTGAGCTGATTTTTGGCATGTGAGTGTATCTTGATGAGTTAAGATCAAGTTTGCATTTCGTTCCGCTTCATTGATTTTTGACGGAATTGTGGCCTTTTCAATTTTAAGGGTTTTCCGCAATTCTCTTCTAAACGTTTTTAGATATTGAGCTGATTTTTGGTATGTAACTGTACCTTGATTAGTTATAGATCAAGTTTGCATTTCGTTCCGCTTCATTGATTTTTGACGGAATTATGACATATTCAATTCTTAACGCGAAACAGATTTCACTTGCCTGGAGGGGACTAGTATTGCTAATGCAGTACTCTCAGAATGCTTGTTATATTGAGAAGGCGCTTCTAATATTTATTGCACAGGCACTTAGGGGCTGGAACTCCCCCCCCCCTCCCCCCTTTTTTCATTTTTTTCTCTTTTTTAAATCGGGGGTCGACACACTTTTTTTCCTATTTTTGTATTCTAATATACACTATCTAATTTCGATAATGTAACCCCTTTGTCTCAATAAGCTGTTTTTAAATATATCGTTTTCGACTGATACATAAAAAGAGAGAAAGCTGGCAACTCTTTTCATGTCATTCGCCTCACCTCGCTTAAACTTCGCGTGATTATTTATTGAAAGCATAATAAAATATGGAATATGCATACATCAATAAACTTGTTACACATTCGTGTTCCTTTTCAACTTTCCATTTAATTTTTTAGTGCCACCAATTTGTAAATATTTCGATTAAATAACTTGCATATAAGCTAGATTTTGTTGCTGTGCACCAGCTGGTCAAGGAAGTGCCCGGTATTTTCGCAATGAAATGAGAGGAATGAAAATTAAGATATTGTGGTTGTTTTCACGGATAGGTTGGTTATTCCTTTTTTCCTTAAATTTGAACAGAGTTTAGAAAAATAGTATTTCAATGACAGGTAATCATCAAGTAACTGCTAAAGTTGGAATAAGTTTGTGGGTGTTTTCATGGTTGTCTACGCCAGTGCATTATCCCTTTTTTCTTTAAAAATTTGTTTTCCTAACAATTGCTATACCTTTAACTTAAAAAAAGAAATCTACAGTCACAGGACCGTTACCCCTAAAAAAATTTGAGAGAAAAGATATAATTTTCGTAAATCTGTATTTTGTTGGTTCAAATTTTAAGGATTAATAAGTTTGCAATTCTGAATTGCATTGATAAAATTGCATTGGTGATTAATGGAGAAAATCGGAAGATTAATTTGATTTTTTAAATGCTCAATTTTATCTTATAACATTTAAATTTGATTAGTTACTTCTTTTAAAATGCATATAGTGAAAACGCATTATTTTTTTTTTTGAATATTTTCTCTGCTCCTGAGTATTAAGCAACCAAATTAAGTGCATAATTATGATAATCAAGTGTGTGTCTTCCAAAATTTTATATTTCAGGACCCTGGGTCAGAGGTTCTGATGTTAGGGCCAGGTTCTGTTGATTATAAAGTGAAAATGCATTAATTTTTTCCAAAAAAATTCTTCTCTGCCCTTGAATATTTGGGTGATAAACTAACTGCATGGTTCCATAAGCAAGAGTGTTTCTTCTAAAATTGCAAATTTGTTGACCCAAGGGTCAGGGGTTGGGTTTGGGATCCATTGATTATGAAGTTAAAATGCATCATTTCTTTCAATATCTTCGCTGGGGTATTATGCAAACAAGTGCATAATCATAACAAGTAAGGGTTCCTCTTCAAAAATTTTGAATTTCTTGACCCCTGGGCCAGACCAGTAAGGACGGGTCTGTATAAATTATAAAGTTATAATGCATTAATTCTTTGAAAAAAGCTTTGCACCTGGTTTTTGGCAGATGAACTAAGTGGATGAATATGATGAGCAAAGTTGCCTCTTCATAAAATTTGAATTCCATGTCTTCTGTTTTGCTGAATCTTTAATAAAAATGTAGTGCATTTTTGAAAATCTCCTCCTGAACCTCTAGGAGGCAAACAAAGTACAATATTTCAATAAACAAGTGTATTTTAACCAGATTTTTGAAATTCCCAGTGTCTGGACCACTTGATCAAGGTTATGGTGCAGGTCTATATTAATTTATTTTCTACTGAGAGTAGTTATTCCACTTTGCTACTCACCTACGATAATTAATCACTGTGAATCATGTAGTTGGTCAATTAAACAAGCATTCTGAGAGTATTGCATAAGCAATACATGTCCCTTACCGGTATCCCCGAAGTACAACATCCTTAAAATAGTATTACAGGTTTCACAATGAACTTCAATTAATGAAATTGTTATTTTTCAAATTTTTACAACTGTAGAGGGGGGGGGGGGGCTTTCATCTACTTCTGCTCCAAAACTAACTGCGAGATTTTGAACAAAGTATTGTTTCCTGCTACAAGCCTCTAGGCTGTAATTAACTGTCATTGAAACTACAATATATAGCATTGGAATTGTTCTGTCGGTACTGGTAAAAATTCAATTCCCCACGGGATTTCATCTAGTATATTCTATTATTCTCTTATTATGATACGTTTTTTCAGACCTTCTAAAGGTGACGTCATTCTAGTAGGGACCTACCGTAAATATGAATATTTTCATTTTTATCCTCTCAGATTCCGGAACCATTTCATGTGGATTTGAAGCTGGCGAGGCCTGTTACTTTGCAAACTCACCAACAAATTCCTATGACTGGATAACAAATATGGTAACTAATGAGTATTTCAGTATACCTATATTTTTATTTTAAGATTTTTTGATACTTTTTAGCTCACGGGAGCTGAAAGCTCAAGTGAGCTTTTCCGATCACATTTTGTCTGTAGTCCGTCTGTCCATCTGTCTGTCTCGCTGTCCGTCTGTAAACTTTTCACATTTTCGGCTTCTTCTCCAGAACCACTGAGCCAATTTTAACCAAACTTGCAACAAAGCATCCGTAGGTAAAGGGGATTCAAGTTTGTTCAAATGAAGGGCCACACCTTCTTCTAAGGGGAGGTAATTAAGAATTAGTGAAAATTGGGTGGCATCTTTTAAAAATCTTCTTCTCAAGAACTACAGGGCCAGGAAAGATGACACTCATGTGGTATCATCCTCAAATAGTGTAGATTTAAGTTTGTTCAAATCATGACCCCCCTTGGTTAGGGCGGGGCCACAACGGAGGATGAAAGTTTTACATAGAAATATATACAAAAAATCTTTAAAAATCTTCTTCTCAAGAACAGCAAAGCCCTGATTTGTCATATTTATATGGAAGCACCCTCAGGCAGTGAAGATTCAAGTTTGTTCAAATCATGACCCCCAGGGGTAGGGCGGGGCCACAATGGAGGATCAAAGTTTTACATAGAAATATATAGGAAAAATCTTTAAAAATCTTCTTCTCAAGAACAGCAAAGCCCTGATTAGTCATATTTATATGGAAGCATCCTCGGGCAGTGAAGATTCAAGTTTGTTCAAATCATGACCCCTGGGGGTAGGGAGGGGCTACAATGGAGGATCAAAATTTTACATAGGAATATATAGGAAAATATCTTCTTCTGTAGAACTGCAAAGCCATGATTAGTCATTTTGATATGGAAGCATCCTCAGGTAGTGTAGATTCAAGTTTGTTAAAATGAAGACCCCGGGGTATAGGATCGGGCCATAATGAGGGATCAAAAATTTTACATAGGAATATATAGGAAAATATCTTCTTTTCAAGAACAGGAAATCATGTTGAGTCATTTTGATATGGAAGCATCATCAGGTAGTGTAAATTCAATTTTCTTCAAATGATGACCCCCGGGGGTAGGGTGGGGCCACGATGGGGAGTAAAGAGTTTTACATAAGAACATAAAGGAAAAAAAAATCTTCTCAAGAACAGAAAAGCTATGTTTAGTCATATTGATATGGAAGCATCCTCAGATAGTGTAGATTCAAGTTTGTTCAAATGATGACCCCTGGGATAGGGAGGAGCCACAATGGGGGATCAAATTTTTACAAAGGAATATATGGGAATTTTTTAAAAAATCTTCTCAAGTGCAACAAAGCCATTTGTTATATTGACATGGAAGCATCATCAGGTCGTTTAAAATTCAAGCCCCCCCCCCTTTCTCCGGTAATCTTTTCAATACTGAACTTATTTGTGCTTTTGCCTAGCCAATGTGCTCAGGTGAGCGATGTGGCCCATGGGTCTCTTGTTATTGATTGTTGTTGAATGAGCATAACATTAAAAAAACGAAACAATATTTCATGAAACATTGAATATGATGGGTTCATGAAAAAAGTGTTGCAGTTCTTTTGTTTTATTCCCTAAAGTTGTAGCAGTTTAAAAGAAAAATTTTAAGAAACAGAAAACGGTCTTAATTATTTTCAGATACTACGGTACATACAGCACAATGTAGAATAATATTTAGAAAATGCATATTGACTTCCAATTTGCCATTAAATGAAGTGTAAATTAGTCACATAGCAAAATAAGTCAAGTTTTCTCTTTTTCAAATAGGGAATCCCCATTGTTCTGAAAAATTGCCTCCTTGAAACAGAATGAATTTGATACGTGCATAAAGGGACAGGATTTATCTTCAAAACTGCCATTTCCGATTTTTGTTTCAAAGAGGCATATTTTTGAAAATCACAAAAATCGAATAAATTACATGTATTATCTACCGAAATGCAAAATGTGCACATAAAATAGCACATAATACTTAAATGTCGGAGCTGGTCTAGTGGTAAAGCGTGTGGACTCTATACAAAGATTCTTTTACCTGAGAATATGTTCGAATCCTGGAATGGCTGGTATATATATACATATTGTTTTCTTATATAATGGAAGTACAATGTAACATCTCTCTTGAGAGAGAAAGAGAGGGAGAGAGAATGTCAGAAAGTTAATGGGTAATATTTTAAATGCATGCAGAATTAAATTGTTTTCCTTGACATTGTGATCTAAAACTAATAAGACATAATTATATTTAATGTTATTATTTAGTGGCGATGTCCTAAAATGTCCTTAAAAATAAAGAACTATTATTTTAAACGATTTAATTTTTTCATACGCATTTCGTTTCATTATTGTTCTGTTAATTAGTGGCTCAGATTTGACTTGAAACCGCTAAATTGAAATGACTCAATGGGATTTCTTGGATATTGCATCAATATCATTCTTGGACACATTTTTATATATTGAAAAACATTAACGCATGCTGTCTACAGTACATCTTACAAAATGATGTACGAGGTGCACTTAATTGCCATTAGTTGTGCTTTTTATCGTTCTAAATTTTATTCGTGCAATATGGCGACAGTGACCATAGATGTGAAAGAAAGTTTACGTACAGGTCGCCAGTCTATGTTAGGAAAAAAAACTATGCATGAAATAAACGTAAAATGTGAAATGATTTGTTATAACTAGCTGGACATACCCGTCGTATAAATAAAGTCATCTACGTAGCATTATCTATATTTAGAGATAATTCTTCATTCGTCGTGGGTATTTAAATATCCTTCTCGATTTAGGGAAAAATCGCGAGTTTCTGCAACACCCCCTTTCAGTACTAATTTCCGTACATACTGACTTTGAATGTCCAATTTTTTTAAGTACAAGTATTCAATTAAAAATGTACTTTAGCAAATTAATGAACGTGTTAAAAGTGAATATACACCAGTTTCGAGATTACCGGTACCTCCTTTTGTGCGCTCTTTAGTTACTGAGAGGAGTTTTGTTTCCGCGTAAAGAGGCAGGTGGGACACTTATTTATATTGAGTACGTTAAAACATTGATATGCCGGTCTATCACAACTGATTTTAAGGATACACTCTTCAACTAAAAAAATACCGAATTTATAAATTTGCTTCATTTTTTTTCTACCAAGAAAAAAACAGATCAAAACAAAAATATCAGCGGTTATAAGACCTCAGACGAGGGAAGAGATACGGATCTCCAATGATATTCACGCATCATTGTACATCTCGGCATTCTGAATGACATACCGACTTTTTTCCCTTATTATAATTTCAAAGAGCCCACTAACTTTAGACAAAAAGTTTGTACGTCAATGACGTTTCTATTTCACAAAGACTTTGACGGTTCTTTTGTTTTCAAGTATCCTAACTGAAAGTAGGTTTTGTAAAATGACATATTCGAGGGGTTATCAAAAAGTTCGTGGACTAGCGCCATAAATTAAAACCGCTTTAGGCACACCGATGATTTTTGATATATTTAGTTAGCATCATCTTGTCTATTTATAGAATAAACCATAAATCATAAGTTTTATTTTTTTAAGTTTTTGTAAGCAATGGTATATCCATGCGGCGCAACCTCAAATATGACGTTTTTTCTACCTGAGATTAACTGAGGAAAACTCTTTTGATATGAGCATTTGTCATCAAAACTCCCGTTATTTCAGGCATACGCATGTTGTGCGACACAATTTTCCGTAAAATTTGCAATTTTTACCACATTCTGTAAGTAATATGAAAATTTATCTTGAATTTTATATGGAGAGCCCAAACAATTAGGGGCTTAAAGATGACGTCAAAAGTTGGGAGGGTTTCTTTTTCCAGCATTCTATAATGTTTTGCACCTGGAAAATCTAGTATAGACCCAAGGAATGTTTAAACGGGCCACAGAAAAATAAAAGGCATCCAGAGTACTTGTTTTTTAAATGCCAAAAAAAAAAAAAAAAAAAAAAAAAAAAAAAAGAAGACGGGCTTAAGTCCTAACTAAATTCCAGGTAATCTCATCAAGATAAGTGTATGAGGTAGAGAGAGCGGACATGGAAGAAACAATGACGTTGTCGGACGTCGTGAAGCTAAGTGGCGACAGCGCCGGATATCATATAATGTCTTTTTTATTTTAAAATAATTTGACAAATTATCAACGTATCAAGCTAAAATTTTCAACATTTCTTAAACTTTTGTAGTTTTGTGTTCCTTAAAAATTTTGTAAGCACAGCCTACATAGTTCAATTTTATCGCATTAGTCTACGAACTTTTTGATAACCCAGAGCTCAATAAATTCATCAAAATTATCACTGCTTGACAGTTTCATCTTTTTATTACATTAAATGAATTTTAAAAGCCCTAGCCATCGTTAATTTATTTATGCATGTTTGTGTACATCAACAACATGTCCCATTTCCATACCGATACGGATACTTTTTGCACCCCTATCGTTGGAGTGTTACAATCTCGAAAGTGACAATATTCTTTTGATTTTAAAAAATCTAAATACATAAGCTCTGTAATCATCAATAGCTTTAATATTTTGCTGATGTTTGTTAAAGTTTGAATTACAACGAAAAGTCTTTGAGCCGTTTAGAATGCGCAAGTTTCGAGATTGTAGCTCTCCAACGATAGAGGCGCAAATAGTATCCATATCAGCATGGAAGTGGGACAGATTGTCCATGTATACACACATGAGCATAAATAAATGAACGATGACTAGGGCTCTTAAAATTCATTTAATGTTATAGATAGCGTATAAGGTCAAACAACGATGATTTTGATGATTTTATTGAGCTCTACCATAAAAGTTTGACAAACCTATTTTCAATTAGATACTTGAAAAATGAAGAACCGTCATAGTTTTTAACAGATTACTTTGTGAAATAGACGCTTCCTTGATTGTACCAATCTTTTTCTAAAAAGTTAGTGGACTCTTTGAAATTATTAAAATGGAGAGAGTCAGTGTGTCATTCAGAAATCCGACGTGTAATGATCATATGCAAGTTGCTTATTAGAGATCCATCTCTCTTCTTCGTCATGATAAATCTTATCCACTGATAATTTCTTTTGTTCCGATTTTTTGGTAGCAAGAAATTGACGTCTTCACTTAAATTAGGTAATTTTCCAGTTGATGAGTGCACCCCGACAAACAGTTATAACAGACCGGCATATCCATGATGTAACGTTATAAATAACTATCCCACCTGCTGGATTACGGGGAAACAAAAACTCCCCTCCGAAACGAAAGAGCGCACCAAGGGAGATAATCTCTAAACTTGCGTATTGCGGCATATTGCTAGAAGCGTTTAGAACCTGTTTAGTCGAATCTTCTGACCTTTCTATTTCACAGGGTACCACACCGTCTAGTGGGACAGGTCCTTCTGCAGCTAACACAGGATCACAGTATTTGTATGCAGAGGTTTCCAGTCCTGTACCAAGTGGAACTAAATTTCATTTTGAAACACCTTTACTTTCAGGTATGCCAAGATTCTCTAGAGACACTAATTATTTAAATATCCGTCAAAATGCAGAAGTTACAGCAGTTTCCTTACAGTTGCACTTTGTCAGTAATAATGTTAATTTTCTTTAATCAAAATAATGGCACCAAATGATACACGGTCATTTTTAATGATTGATGTTATAACATTTAGCATAAAAAACAAATAGGATTCAGATATGAAACGTTGACTATCCTCCACTTTTTGACATTTAAAGCTACCGAAAGATGCATGTCTTTCTGGTATCACATGAATGGTAATTCTGTGGGAACGCTGAACGTTCTACGGAATGGAAACCAGGTGTGGACTATATCGGGAAGTCAAGGAGACCAGTGGAATAAGGCTGAATTTAATATTGACGACAGTGTCGGTTACAAGGTAAGTAAAAATATTACACTTTGAACGAAATCAGTCTGTTTTCAGAACTATGTTAGAACGGTGAGCTGCAAATTTTCACGAGCTTTATACATAGAAGTATAATTATTGATAGGGAGTTATTAAGTTTAAAAACAAAAATATTTCAGGGAAGAGGGGATAAGTAAGATAGTACATGTATATATATAGAAATATTAGTTTATTTTCTTTACTGGGAAAGTGTTCGTCCAACTTTTTGTGAACAATTTTTCAAAACTTCTCTCTTCCTTAAATTTTGTCAGATTTCAATAAACACAAGTATATTAATCCAAGAATGTCCAAAAAAATTATTTTTTTTTTTACTTAACAGGAATAAAGCACAATATAAATGAAAATGTGTCATTGGTGTTGTTGGTGTCGGCTTCATCGAAATACACAATTCTTTCTGTCGGTTTTATTTTCATTTATCTGTGTGGCTATGGTTACTGAAAAAGGAATGTTATAAAATTCCTCTTCAAATGGATTTGGTCCAATTTTATTAATACTTGTTACATCAGTAGGTTGCAAAAAGAAAAAAATATATTGATTTTAAGGGTTATAAAATATATATTTCGTGATCATATTTAAAAAAAAAATGCTTTTCTACTCCTCCAAGATATCAAGAAAACTTGGAACAGAAGTGGATTACACCAAATTATATTATGAATACGATTATATTGTAAAAAATTTTTTTATGAATGGTGTTACTACAGATACAATTTTATCGTTTGATTTCTTTATCTTTTTTATGTTTGTTATACGGTGTTACACGGTTACTGTGGATAAGATTATGTCGTTAAAAAAACTACTTTTCTCAGATTAATAAGTTTTGTAATGAACAGTGTTGTAGTGATGATTAAAACAATCTGTAAAGTTCTTTGAAAATTCTTTTCCCTCTTGAATTGATTTGAACAATACTTGGTACAAGTATGAAAACATCAAGATATATATTTTTATATGAAAAGATATAACGGGAAAGGGGAAATTGTGGTTCCCTTGACAACTATAGACATATATAGAAAACGATGTGTGAGCAAAAGGACGAAACTGCTATCATTCCAATAACAGCTTGTCTGCTTGCTTGGTTAAGCGTGCTAAACTTTCACACGTTGATTACCATAATACTCACTGACAGACTGGTTTTTTTTTTTTTTTTTTTTTTTTTTTTTTTTTTTTTTTTTTTTAAATGCATACTACTTTACATATAAAACACAGGATCCAAAAATACCACCGAGAGTATCGACCAATCGCATCGAACACGAAGAATGTTAGTTTATTTTGGTAGAAAACAGCAACATGTAGTCATTCAAAGCCTGTGTCACTTCATTTAATTATAATTAAGTGTCATGTTCAGTTATGAATTGACTGGAGGGATAATATAGGAAAAACTTCAACATGAAAATTAAGAAGGCAACACTTCTACTACATGTATTAAATGTACTACTATTATATAGATGCATTATGCAAGTGAAAGCTAAAAATGCATTAGTTTACACATTGTTGTTAATGTTCCCCATCTTTCGTTCAAGAAAGTCTAGCAATTCTTGTGTGAGTTAAAAGAATTGATATAAATCATTTTTTTTTAGATTGTCCTTTACTTAAAGTCAGAATGTTCAAAAACTATTTTGGAAGGCTTTGAATGGCCATGTTGTCACATAGACATTCAAGACGATGGGTCAGTGCTGTTAGTAGTATTGTTTGATTCTTGGTTCCATAAGCAAAGTAGTATTCAATTCATTGAATTCAAACAGCCAATCATTGAGTAATATGGTGATCAGCATATGCAACTAAAGCGCTTGATCAAGCAGAGTGACACGCTGTTATTGGAATGATAGTAAGTATACAAATACGATGATGCGCAATGAAATGGTAAAAAGTTTCATTTAAATGAAACATTTTGGTCTTCATATCGTACGTCAATCGTTACATAAAGACAGGTCATTTCATTAGAATTGAGTAAGCTTTATATAGTGCAACATTTTAAAACGCCTTATGTTCTGACAGTAAACAACTTATGCTGATAATGGGGATTTTATATTTTTGGGAGTGTGAGTGAGAGACTTTCCGCTTCTGTAAAAACTCTCGTTTTGCAACGAATGCATACATGACCAGAATGTATAAGTAATGTCTATTTAAAGCTGAACACGCTTCGTAAAAGGAATTTGTCACTTGCTATATCTGAGTTTGAGGGCCCCTTTTTCTTATAAAGCCGCCCACTTAGTCACAGTCGTCAACGGTGTAGACAGACGCATGCTACACAGCACTCGGTAGCGACAACTGTGTACTTCTTCTAATGCAATAGAGTAAGATACCGAAGAAACTAACAACAGTTGCACTGGTCAGTGCAGTGTACAAACACACATACACCTAACTGCAATAAAAGTGTAAACAAAGGTAATTAAAATAACCAGTACGAACACGTGTTGTCATTCCACGCCGATACCCGTGACAATAAAGCAGTCAATTGTAACAAATGCGAAGGGTATACTCCGGTGCTGATATCGTAGATAGTATAATCGAATATGGCGTATGCATATCTACGAGTCGTATTCAGCTTAAAGCTAACAGAACATGAGTATCGATCGAACACGTGTTTACCAGAGGTGTTTTTATACGATGCCAATTTGTTTGGCTATTGTATTTATTGAATACCTGTTCAACGGATATTCGAATAAAGCATGTGAGAATATTTACGACAATCGAGAGCTCTCTCTCTCTCTCAATGCAAACTGATGTTTTTCATCCCTACGATAAACCGCCTTTTCCTTCCCGAAGAAATTGTCGTTTCATAATGTAGCAAGCATTGTTCAAAAGAGGGAAATTTTTCCAACTAAAGAGTCCTGGACACAGATTTGAAGTTAATATTTTCTCTAATTTTCTGTGTGATATCTAGCTGCAGAACTGTAGCTCTCCGAAAAAAAAAAATTGACAGACCTGAGAGCTACAGTGCCCCCATAGAAAAAACTGTATATTTATTGCGCACAAAAAAGTGCGCTGTTTCTCGATTTATCTCTCCGTATTTTTAAACTGCAGTCTCTAAATATTACTGACCGTATGTTCCTAACACATTTTTGCACTATTCTCACATCAAAACATTTCCTATAACCGTTGTTAATAGCCCTCCTGGGCCTGAAATTAAGACTATCCAAAATTTCGCTTGTTAATACTGTCATTTTGGGTGGCTAGACAATTCGGCCAAACGCGCTTCGTAAAGATGTCAACTACAAGAGTAGTTGATAGAGGTCTAAGGAATTTTTTGAAATCGAGCTTTTGTGCAGTTGAGGTAAGAATTTGGAGAAATAAATCCAGAACCGAGCGCAACTTTTTGTGCGCAATAAATATACAGTTTTTTTCTGTGGGTGGCACTGTAGCTCTCCGGTCTGTCAATTTTTTTTTCGGAGAGCTACAGTTCTGCAGCTATGTGATATCATGACTTATATATTGCCATAGCATTTCATACGGAAATATAATAAAAGCGTGTTGAGAAACTTCGGGACGCGTTTGATTGACACATCCTTGCACTTTTACAAAGTAAACTTTATCTTTAATACTTAAGAAAAGTAGAAATTTTGATGTGTATTAATGAAAATATAAAAAAAATATAATCCAGAAATGTGAGAAAGCAAAACTAAGTCACCAGTATTGTCAGTCCGTGTTCAGTGATGTGTGCAAAGTTTAACAACCTTAACACACCCAGTTAAACGTAAACATTAACAATAGCAGAGCCCGTGTCCTGTTAAAAAAAAGAAAGATGTTTTACGTGATGTAAGGAAGAATGTCGTTGTCATTGATGTTATTCATGTAAGTTAAATTAACTGGTTTAATTTTTTGAATAACATAGAAAAAATTAAAATGTAAACAATGCAACTATGTCCAGGCCCCTTTAAATGCGCTTTACTGTTTATTCAAATAATAATAGATTTTTAAAAATGTTTTTAAGCTGGTATATTGCATGATCTTTGAAAATAGTGATAATTTTCTAGAGAGAAAGAACTTGTTTTAGCGATCAATCCTTAATTATATTTTAGCTCAAAACTAAAACAAATAATCAAGAAGATGCAATAGTAGCGAATGCTATGAGTCTATTATATTCAAACGTACTTAATTTTTTTTTAAGTGTAGGGTTTTCAAGAGTAAAAAAATATATTATTAGGAAAAAGTTCTTCTGCTCATATGCTCATATTTTTTGTTATAAGTTTAAAATGTTTTTTAAAAACTTCGCAATAGATAACTACGACAGTTCAGTATTTGCTGAATATTTACCCTCTTTCTAAGATATAGTTTTATACGATTTTGGCAGGACAATACAAGTATAGTTTATCACGACTGAAAACTTAGGCCATCATTAAAATAATGTTTGCTCACCCTCTCCCGACTCAGCTTAAAAAATGAGTCAGTGGGTAGGCGGAAAAGTTTTTTCCTATAAAATTTCAGCATACATAATGACAGGATGAGAAAATTCAAGAATAAAAAGAAAAAAAATCGTTTCCTGGCGGTTGAAAATTTTTTTGAGTCGGCCAGTTTTCATCCAGTCGGGAGAGGGCAAGCAAACGATTTTTTAAAGATGGCTTATGACCACAATTTAAAAAAAAATGATACCAATCACTAAAATCCTGAGATTCTTTTGATCTCTTAGGTCACATTTGAAGCAATACGAGCAAATAGCTGGCAAGGTGATATTGCTATAGATGACGTTTTATTAACACCCTGTGGTAGGTTTCTGTGTATTAATTTATTATATCTTTCTTGATACAATACAACTTATTTCAAAGCATTTTCTCAACTGCAATGATATATTGATTTTGTGTCCATTTTTCTTTGACAATTTTATTTTATCATGTATCTTGATAAATTTCAATGTATTTCAAAGGTAAAATGTTTTCTCAGTTGGAAGGATATAATATTTTTAGTTTAATTGTACTCCTACAATTTAAAAATGTTTAAATTTGATACACTTTTTATGATAACATACACTTCTTTAATAACATTAAAATCTCAATTGCAAAGATATATATTATTTTAAGGTCAATCATCAACTCCACAGCCAAGTACAGAAGCACCAACAACGCAACAGCCGACAACACAACAACCAACAACACAACAGCCAACAACAACTCAACCAACAACACCACAACCAACAACACCTCAACCAACAACACCACAACCAACAACACTACTACCATCAACAAAACAACCAACAACACAACAACCAACAACACAACCAGTGACAACTAGTCCTCAGTCTGAACTGCACTGTACTTTCGAGGATGATACTTGCTTCTTACAAAATATAGATGGAGATTCTTTCGACTGGACTATAAGATCAGTAAGTAATACAGGATCATTATATCAGTTATACTGGACAATAAGATCAGTAAGTAATACAGGATCATTATATCAGTTATACTGGATAAGATCAGTAAGTAATACAGGACCATTATATCAGTTATACTGGATGATAAGATCAGTAAGTAATACAGGACCGTTATATCAGTTATACTGGATAAGATCAGTAAGTAATACAGGACCATTATATCACTTATACTGGATGATAAGATCAGTAAGTAATACAGGACCATTATATCACTTATACTGGATGATAAGATCAGTAAGTAATACAGGACCATTATATCAGTTATACTGGATAAGAACAGTAAGTAATACAGGACCATTATATCAGTTATACTGGATGATAAGATCAGTAAGTAATACAGGATCATTATATGAGCTAAACTGGATAAGATCAGTAAGCAATACTGGAATATAATTACAGTAAGTTATACTTTATGTTCATATCAATAAGTACTGGATAATAAGATAAGTAGGTTGTACACTAAGCAATACTGGATGATAAGAGTAGTAAGTAATACTAAGAAATCAGTAATACTTGACAATTTTTTCAGTAAGTGATACTAGACGATAAGACCACTGGACGAAAAGATCAGAGGGTAATAATGGACAATATCAAAAAGTAACACCAAATACTTTTGACGGGTCGATAAAATCTGTAATTAGAATTCACATGTGACGCCATTCTTTTGTTTGAGCATTCCATTGCTTTTCAGGAATTGAGAGTTGCAATTTACATAATTTACATTGAAAACGGTATTTGCTATGTTAATATTCTCCTTCTTGTGCCACAATGGTGACAAGAACTTAGAAAATTTTATAAATTTATATTTGATTTTATATTAATATATAAAATGAAATGAAAATGAAATCCCACTAATATGTTGAATGTACGATGTATTTATTGAAGTATGTCTTTATTACATATTAAAGCTGAACACGCTTCGTAAAAAGAATCTGTCCGCCATATTCGATTGGACTCGCTATATCTGAGGGCCCCTATATATAGAGCCGCTCACTTAGTCACTTTTCAGTGTAATCAATTGTCACCGGTGTAGACTGACATATGCTATACAGCACTAGGTAGCGACAAAAATAACTGTGTACTTCTTCTAGTGCAGGAGAGTAAGATTTAAAAGAGAATTACAACAGTTGCACAGGTCAGTACAGTATACAAACAAACACAAATATACGTTACTGCAATAAAATGTAAACAAAAGTAATGCAAGATAATCAGCACGAACACGGGTCGCCATTCCACGCCGATACCCGTGACAATAAAGCAGTCAGGTATAACGAATGCGAAGGGTATACCCTGGTTCTGATATCGTAGATAGTAATATCGAAAACGGCTTGTGCATATTTACGAGTTGTGTTCAGCTTTATGGTAATATTAAAGTAATATATATCGAGGCCTCGGTTCCATCACTTTTAAGGAATGGAACGCTACATAAACCCATTTGTAATGCCAGGTATATTTTGGAATTCTTTTTAAAAGATATGAAAGTTAAAAGGAAATTCAGCACCTTGAAATGCTTTTTCCATCAAAAAGTAAATATTTTACATTACGAATTCAAAGTATGTTTATTACTCTTTTTACCTATAAATGTTGTTAATTTGATTTAAAAGTTTATAAACTGTTAACGTGTATTATTTAAGGGAAGTACACCATCAAGTAACACAGGTCCTTCATCTGCTTTCGAGGGAACTATGTATTCTTACATAGAGGCATCAGGAAAAGCGGTTAATGCAGAAGCCAAGCTTCAAAGTTCAACAATTGCAACAAGTGAGTTTTCTTAGGTCATCTGAGTCATTTGTGTTACATATTGCTATCTTTTTTGATCAATCTTCGTTCGTCGTACAACTTGCGTCGTCCATTAACATTTTCAGCGTCCTTTTTTTAAACCGCTAAACCAGTTTTACCGTAAAGCATCTCTGAAAGGGGATAAAAATGTGAATTTCATGGTCCCTGCCCGCCGGAGCCAGAGAGGTGGGGTTTAAACCATCGAAATTAATGTAATCTTAAAAATCTTCGTCTTTACTCCTTAACATCAAGCAGTTGAACTATTGTCTTGATTTTAATAAGTCCTCTACCAGAATTGTGAAACTCAAGGCCCCAGGGTACAGGGTTCTGGAGTTAGGGCATGACTCTCTTGATCATATAGTGAAAATGCATAAAATCTTTATAAATCTTCTCCTCTCCTCCTGTATATAGCATTAATTATTTGAAAATTTTCTCTACTCCAGAGTATTTAGAAAATAAACTAAGTGCTTGTTAATGAGGAGCGAGGGTGCCTCTACCAAACTTGTGAAAAATTGTGGCCCCAGTGTCAGGAGCTCTGGTGGGTTTTTTGGGAGGGGGGAGGGGCGGGGGCTCTATTGATTATATGTTAAAGTACATTATTTCTTTGATACTTTAATTCTCTGCTGACCCAGACTCTCTGTCTAATCAGCTGGTACTCCAGCCCCCGAAAAACTTTATATCGTGAGCCGCCCCTGCAATATATTATGTGAATTTGTTTAGAAATGTTTTTTTTTAAATATTAGACAGTTTTACTTTCTTCACAGCATAGCTGTTTACAAGTTTAAATTGTTTTAGGTGTGTTTCTTTTAATCAGAACATTGAATGCTAGTAAGGTCCATAAAAAGTTTTTTTTAATCACGAATGAATATGTTGAACATGCGAAAACATGAAATCTCATAGTAATGAGCATATTTAATTTCCATAAATGATTATAGTTCAACGTATACAACACTGTTTACAAAATGTTACATAAAAAGTTCTTTATTTGTTACAGGTACTAGCTGTGAATAGGTCTAATTTAAGATTTGTTAAAGAGTACAAGACTAGTTATTTTGTTGATTCCTGATCATTCTATTTCTCTTGCTTTTGAGCAATATACCTTCGTCTCTGTTTATTTTTTTTCTTTTAATATACTTCTATGGTGTAATATACATGCACTCAGGTGATCGTTAAGTCCTTAGGCCTTTTTTATTAAGATTGTGAGCTTAATAACAAAAATTACTTTAATCCAATGCAAAGGAGAATTGTATGATCCTGCATGAAAAAGGCAAAGAATATCAGAAAAAAGGCAACTTGGGAAACTTGATAACATTAATAACATTGAAGTACGTAAGCTGAATATGAAATTTTTGCCTCGGCCTTAAGATGTTTTGTTTTCTGTAAAAACAATTTATCTTCCATTTTGTACTTAAACCTGATCTTACTTGCTGTGTTACAGCATTGTGAGTGATTATTTCACTTAATATTCAAAATTTGTTCAGGTCTCTTGCATTGATATTCGTCATATCCTATATCTTTATTATTTATACATTTTGTTCAACGGCCTCTTGTAAAGATTATAATTCAGTATAAAGTCAACTAAAATAAATCAAAACTATGCTGTATTTCTAGGCCAGATCTTCTGTCTGACTTTTGCTTACCATATGTATGGCGCAAATATAGGCTCCCTGACCGTGGACATTATTTCCGCTGGTGGCACACAGACTCTGTTCAGTGAAAGCGGAAACAAAGGAAACCTGTGGAATAAAGCATATATTCCAGTTTCACCAACAAGTGGCATAGTAAACACACTATATTGTTCATAGTCTTAATTTTTTTTTCACTGCCTTGAATATTTGTATTACCTGTAATTGATAGGTCAGTTCATCATCATGATAGTAATATATTAAGTTTTTTTTCTTCTAAGTTAAGGTAGCAATTAAGGTTCATTTATTTGACAGATTGAATTTACTGCATTACGTGGGGATGGTTTCCGTGGAGACATATCAATTGATGACATTCACTTCCAGTCAGGTGATTGTGGTGAGTGGGCGTTCCCTTGATTGATATTATCTTACTGTCTTTGGTTTCTATCATGTCAAAACAGAGCTAACATCAGTTTGTGATTCTTGAACTAGTTCCCTCTTTCCTAATATATCTTGTATAAAAATCATTAATGTATCCTAAAAATTGCTCAACTAAATCTTTAAAACATTAAAAGCCTTGATAAAAACTTGAATGAATGAAAACAAGCATCAGTTTGGTTCAAACTGGAAGAAGAATTTCCTTTCATGATGTGGCTGAACATTTTAAGGCTAACACTTTTCCATTTCAGCAATTCCTTCCACTACCACTCCCGCTCCAATAACTCCTCCCTTCAGTTGTACCTTTGAGCCAGGAGCATTCTGTTTCCTGACACAATCATATGAAGACGATTTTGATTGGACAAGTAGAGATGTGAGTTTAATATTTTGCTTGCTAGTATCTTTCATTTTGTATTTACGTTTTCCTTACGTGTTTGTGAGATTGTGAGTGTTTGTGCTTGATTTTTCTGTTATTGAAATGGTGAAAGGGTCGGATGGGTGATTATTTTTTCCGTGTCTATCCATTCCGGTCTTTTTTCTGCGAGATAATGGATTAGGGTTGAGATGTTAAATGTGTACATTTTGATCTTAGAAATGTTTTTGGTTAGATATTGCATGATGCGAAACAGTACTAATACTTTATACTGAATGCGCTCAATTTTTATTTTTTAAGGCAGGCTACTGACAAATACGTTAATGTTACAAAGACTTCAACAACAACCCCTTTTAATACCAGCTTTTCCAAATTTTGTAGTTGTTATCATGACCTTGTTTGTCTTACAGGTTTGGTCTGATTTCAATAAAACTTAAAAAAAAGTAGACTACATTACGATACATAATTCTGTATCTTGGTTTTTGGTTTGGATGAACGGTGTAACCATGTTTACTGAAAATATGATTTTTAAAAAAAAAATACATTAAGAACGCTACTCCTTCTACAGTTTTGGTCTGTTTTCAATGTACATGTAACTTATAACACAAGTAGACTACACTAAGATACAAAATTCTGTGTATCGTTTTTTTTAAATTTCGATGAACGGTGGTTACTAAAGATAGAAATATCTTCGAAATACTTTCATACCGCTACCTTCAACAGTTTTGGTCTGATTTTAATATAACTTGGCACACAAGTAGACGTTACTAAGATACATAATTTAATATATCGGTTTTTGTTTTCAATGAATGATTTTGCCATGGTTACTTAAAATAGAAATTTCTTTGGAATACTTTCAAAACGCTACTCCTCCCACAGTTTTGGATTGATTTCAATATAACTTGGCATAAAAGTAGACTACAGCAAGATATATAATTCTATATTTAAGTTTTTGATTTCAATGAAAGGTGTTGTCATGATTACAAAAAATAAAAATTTCTTTAATATTTTTTCTAAAGCTACACTTCCTACAGTTTGAGTCTGATTGCAATTAATCTCGTGACAAAATAAACTAAACCAAGGATAATTATTCTATTTAATTCTGTTGCAAAGTTGTAAGTCCAAGTGCTTTGTTGTAAATACAACCCAGTAGAGCTACAGTCTTGTCAGAGACTTCTAGTTTTGTCTACATATATTTCATTAAATATTTAGGTCCTTGCTTTTATACTAAATTTGACTACGGAGTACTCCGTCTATCTGTTCAATACTTAGGGCTCACAGCGAGTGTGACCGGTCAACATGGGATACTTACATATATATATATAAAGAGAGAGATATATATGATGTCTGTATAAATTGTATTATGTTAGAATACAGCACCTAGCCTATTTTATTTCCAAAACTTTACCCAGCTTATTCACATCTTAGGATTATTTTAAGGCAGAAGCATAATCTTCTATTGAAACTAGTGTTTTGTTTAACAACAGTTTGTCTTGAAATTTGTTTCACCATTTTTGAGGATTCTTGTAATAACGTAATTGAGAAAGTACATTTACATAAACAATAGTCAAATTGTTGTTTACTTTAGGGCGGAACACCCTCTTCAAATACTGGACCTAGCGCGGCATTTGAAGGTACTACATATGCCTACACTGAAGTTTCTGGGCTTCAATCGGGAAACAGAGCTGTCCTAGAAAGTTCATCAATTATAACAGGTTTGAATTCATTCCTATAATGCTGTGCTCTAAGTTCTTGTAAATGCATTGATAATAAAATAATTGATCATAATTGAATGCGGGATGTTTGACTCTAAAATCATTTCCCTCGCATTATGAAACTTAGGCTTACCTTTACCTTTCAATAACTTTTGGATTAACCAATAAATAACCGCCTTTTTCATTTTTTGTTTTTTTATATTTTGTATAGCTGATTCAATGTGCCTGTCCTTTGCCTATAGCATGTATGGCAGTAACATGGGAGATCTTGAAGTCGTGTACGATAACATGACGGTTTTTGCCGAGATTGGAGACAAGGGAGACAACTGGCAGCAGACAAAAGTCACTCTCCCTCCTCCCATCGCCTCCGGAGCAAATGTAGGAATTTATATATATATATATATATATATATATATATATATATATATATATATATATATATATATATATATATATATATATATATATATATATATATATAATACAAATGTAGCCCTTTCGAGAGGTCCAACCATAGATATATCGACTTCACAGAAAAAGCATATCGACCATGCATTAATATTGATTGAAATAGGGAACATGCAATTATTTGTGAGTCGACGAAGTCTTGTGAAAATAAATCTCGGTCTTTGATGCTACATTTACTTGGCTTTTTTTACTCAGTAATTTTGACATGGCGATTGTTTTATTCCATCCATTTTTTCACTTTTTAAAAAAGCAGGTGGTGAAAGTTAAAATTCTCTGTGGGAATAGTTGGATTGATTGATTGTGTGTTTTTTAACGTCCCATTCACATAGAGACGTTACCGGTGAAGGGCTTCAAATTTTGATCTATACTCGTTCCCCATTTAGACTTGTACTCGGCCCTCAGGAGACCGTCAGGGTAGCTCAGTCGGCAGAGCGACTAAGTCATGTTTTCCTTCGGATTGGGCGTAAAAAAAAGGAAAAAAATTATTTTACCGATTCTAGGAAAAAAAATCATTTTTTTTCATTTTTAGCTCACCTGAGCTAAAAGCTCAAGTGAGCTTTTCTGATCACCTGTTGTCCATCGTCCGTCCGTCCGTCTGTCTAGCTGTCTGTCTGTCTGTCCGTTCGTCTGTAAACTTTTCACATTTTCAACTTCTGCTCAAGAACCACTGGGCCAATTTTGACCAAAATTGTTACAAAGCATTCTTGGGTAAAGGGAAGTTTAAATTGTTAAAATGAAGGGCCAAGCTCTTAAACAAGTGGAGATAATCAAGAAAAGATGAAAATAGGGTGGAGTCATTAAAAAATCTTTTCAAGAACCAATGAGCCAGAAAAGCTGAAACTTACTTGGAAGCATCCTGGGGCTAGTGTAAATTCTAAATTGTTCAAATCATGACCCCTGGGTGTAGGGTGGGGCCACAATAAGGAATCAAAGTTTTGCATTGAAATATATAGGGAAAATCTTTAAAAAAAATTCTTCTCAAGAACCACTGGGTCAGAAAAGCTGAAACTTACATGGAAACATTGGTGGGTAGTGTAGATTGTAATTTGTTCAAATAATGACCCCCGGGGATAGGGTGGGGCCACAATGGGGAATCAAAGTTTTACTTTGAATATATATGGAAAATCCTTAAAAAGCTCCTTCTCTAGAACTACTGGGCCATAAAAGCTAAAACTTACAGGGAAACTTTCTGGGGAAGTGTAGATACTAAATTGTTCAAATCATGACCCCGGGGGTAGGGTGGGGTCATGTGAATCAAAGTTTTACATTGAAATATATAGGAAAAACCTTAAAAAATCTTCTTCTCAAGAACCATTGGGCCAGAAAAGCTGAAACTTACACGGAAGCATTCTGGGGTAGTGAAAATTTGAAATTATTTAAATCATTAGCCCCAGGGATAGGGTGGGGCAACAATGGGAAATCAAAGTTTCACATTGAAATATATAGGAAAAATCTTAAAAAATCTTCTTCTTAAGAACCACTGGGCCAGAAAAGTTTCTAACTTACAAGGAAGCATCCTGGGGTAGTGAAGATTCTAAAATTATTCAAACCATGACCCCCGGGGATAAGGGTAGGGCCACAATTACAATTACAATGGGAAAATCTGGTGAAGAACAGCAGATACAACTTATAAGGAAAATCTTAAGAGGTTCATTAATAAAATTCAGTTCCCCTGATGTGGTTTGATATTTTGCTACCATTCATTCTTCTTCGGTTTTGTCTAACTCTCTATATTCAATCTACAGCTACATTTTGTCGGTAAATGTGTGTCTAATTCTATATTTTATCTACAGATACAGTTTGTTGGTACATATGTGTCTATAAGTACCTTTATTTGATCTATAGGTACAGTTTGTAGATACACGTGTTACTAAGCCTCTACATTTTATCTACATAATTATATACTGTTTGTATATGCATGTCTAAGCCTCTTTATTCTATGTATAGATACAGTTTGTCGGTACATGTGTCTAAATCTGTATTCTATGAATAGATACATTTTGTCGGTACACATGTGTCTTAGTCTCTATATTTTATTTACAGATACAGTTTGTTGGTATACGTGTGTTTAAGCCTCTATATACAGTTTGTTGGAACACTTGTGATATCCTCTTTATTTTATCTATACGTCTACAGACACAGTTTGTTGTATCTTAGCCTCTATATTTATCTACAGTTTGTAGGTACCCGTGTGTATAAACCTCTATATTTTATCTGTAGATACAGTTTGTTGGAACACGTGGGTCAGGATTCAGGGGAGATATTGCTATTGACGACATCCAGGTCGTCACGGGAGATTGTGGTTAGTAATGTAAAGATCCAAAGTCTATTGAAACAATACAAATCGGGAGCAGAGCAAACACCGACCTTTCAAAAACATCAGTTGTGGGATAAGGTGCCATGGAGGAGTAAGCATCCCCTGTCGACCTGTTTCGCCCGCCGTGTGCTAATTGTCATGATCGAGCAAACGGAAAAATCCTTAGACAATTCAGTGTTTAAATAATGGCCTAACAATCAGTATGAAAAATGTCAGTCAGTATTCGAGTTAATGATAAATTGTATTTGCTGACAAGGTCATTGTATCGACCATAGAACTTACGAAATGATGACTTTAAACTAGACTGTTGCTATCATTGTTTCATCAACCTGTTTGTCAATAGCTTGCCTTGTTCTGAAATTGTTCGTACGTGGAGCATGCTCTCGCGTATCGAATCCACTGGGAGATCTAAACCCCTTATGCAGGTGATAAAGGTTTATTGCTACATAAGTAAATAAAGTTGACGATAGAAAAGTCGAAGTCATCACGTTTATCATAAAGTTTTGTTGTTAGGCTACCACTAACGTCGTTTGCTAGTAAAATATCTAAATATGAAACAGATGTGTCAGACTCTGTTGTATGTTTTAGTTCAAGTTCACTGGGATAGAACGAGTAGACATATGAATGGAAGTAACTATTGTTAACTAATAATACGTCGTCGATATATCTAAATGTCGAGTTGAAGGCAACAGCATAACTTAATGACCTCCTCCACTACTTTTGCTGCTTTTTTCCTAATCGATGAATCAGCCTTGTCCTCTGACGTAATGACAGACAATTTGAATAACACAAATATTACTAGGAGGTGATGCTCTTTTAAAATTTAAAAAAAAGTGCAGATATTATTTTTGTCTGAGTAGTTCCTTTCAAATCTAGGTTTGCATTTTAAACATTATCCTCTAAACTATTTGAAATGAAATGTGAAGATACCGAACAGTGATCAAACTCGAAAGTCCATTTAAACAAATACAAATTGTGAGGAGAGCCAACACGGGCCTTTGAAAACAGAGGACCGGCTTCCATGGAGGAAAAGAGATGCCTAAGAGTCATAAAAAAACAGGTCCTGGTTTCCATAGCAACATTTTGCATCTTGAAATTGAAGAAAACTGGTGTCGAATGGTCAAATGTTTTCGTGATTAACGTCTATCTTCTCTTCACATAAATATTAGTATCAAAAAATTGATGTTTAATCTTTCACCACGTATAGACTTTTAGAAAGATTTATCATTATGTAATTGTTTAAATCTTATTCAGTCCTAGATTGTTCTGATAATCCTTGCGGTTCTAACAGCATGTGTATTGCCGAGCCAGGTACAGCACCTGGTTTCAGATGTGAGTGTGCACCAGACTTCAGTGGGCAATTCTGTGAAATAGGTAAGTATCGGGGACCCTCTGATATGAAAAACACTTTCAAACTTAAATCCAATAATCATAAAAACAAATTGCTCTAGCTTTGATTTCATTTTCAATTTGCAAGAGAGGAAATTAACCGTATTTTTATTTCAAAATTTATGTCAATCCATGCATCCAATGTTCTGTTTGCAGCAAGTATCCTTCAAATATTTTTGATTTTTAGCTATACATGTACACTGTATTTAGTTTTATGTTGACATTTTAATAAGATAAAGGGTTTTGGGTGTTCATTGTATTCTAATTATGCACTATAATGCAATACGCAACCAATAACGCATTGGGTATACTTATCTATTAGCCTTAGGTTCAGTGGAATGTACATTTGAAGATGGAGAAAACTGTTTTCTGGAAAACGTAAACTTCGACGATTTTGAATGGTCCATCAATTCTGTGAGTATCGAGAAACTCCATATTGTCCTGTTGTATTTTCTCAAAACACCGGGCTCTTGTGCAATTAAACTTTGAAAAAATTGATAAATATTTTTTTTAGCTCACTTGAGCCGAAGGCTCAAGTTAGCTTTTCTGATTTTCTGATCGAAGGGTGTCGGCGTCAATCCGTCGTGTGTCGTCTATAAACTTTTTATATTTTCGACCTCTTCTAAAGAACTACCCCGCCAATTTCAACCAAACTTTGCACAAAACATCCTTGGTTGAAGGGGAATTAAGTTTGTTCACAGGAAGTGCCACGCCCTTTTTCAAGGGGAGATAAATAAGTATTTCTGAAAACTTTGTGGCATCTTTCTAAAATCTTCTCGAGAACCACCTGGCTAAAAAAGATGAAACTTACATGTAAGTGAAAGCTACAGTATACATTACACATTGTTAATTTAAGTTTGTTTTTATGTCATTTCTCATATTAATATAGAAGCATCCTCAGATAGTACAAATTCAAGATTGTTCAAATCATGATCCCTGGTAATAGGGTGGGGCCACAACAGGGGATCAAAGTTTTACATAGGAATATATAGGAATGGAATATGGAGATAACGAACAGTATTCAAGCTCATAATCCATTTAAACAATACAAATCGGGAGCAGAGCAAAAACATCAGAAGCGGGATCAGGTGCCATGGAGGAGAAGCATCCCCTGTCGACCGATCATACCCGCCGTGTGCTCCTTGTCATGATCGAGGAAAAATCCGTAGAAAATTTAGTATGTAAATAATAGCCTAAAAATTATAGTATGTCAGTCAGCATTTGAGTTAATGATAGATTGCATTTGCTGGTAATGTTATTGTATCAATCATAGAACTTGCGAAATGATGACCGTTGATATCCTTGTTTCATCAACTTCTTGTTTAATAGTTTGCCTCGTTTTAAAAATTGATCTCTAAAAATATCTTTAAAAACCTTATTCTCAAGAACAGAAAAATCATTATTAGTGATATTAATACAGAGACATCCTCAAGAGTGTAGATTTAAGATTTCAAAATCAAGACTACCCAGGGCAGGGCAGGGGAAAAAGGCGGGGATCAAAATATATAGTAAAATTTTGATAAATATTTCTTTTAAGAACAACAAAGCCGTGATTAGTCAAATCAATACAGGAGGATCCTTAAGTAGTGTTGATTCAAGTTTTGTTCAAATCATGACACCGATAGTAAGGGTGGGGTCATAGTACACTGTATGTGAACAAAGTTTTACATAAGAATATGTAGGAAAAATAAACTGCTGATGAAGAACAGAAGGGCCATACTTACTCATGTGAGCCCTGTGTCCCATTAGCCCCTTGTTTTATTTCAGTCTTTTTTTTTTTTTTTACAAAAATCTAGACTGAGAGAAAAAGTGAGTTCATCTAGATTTATATACAATGGGGCCCGTTTCATAAAAAGTCGCAAGTTTTGGACTTAACTTAGTCTAGTTCCGGGGCGTACGCCACAACTTAGTTGGGTGTATTTTGCGTTTCACGAAGCGGCGTAAACCTACTCGTAAAATGTACGCTTAGTCTTTGGACTAAGTTCTTGACAACGCAGCATTCAACATGCGCAAAAAACATAAACATGCCTATTGTGAACATGTATGTAGAATAACACAAATATGCATTAACTAAAAAGGAAACATACATTAATTTACGGGGACCTTGACGAAAACATGCATCTTAAATCTAGTTATTATATACTGTATATGATATTAACTTTTTACGACATTACAACTAATTCTCATCCCAAAATAAAGGCCTGAGAAAAGAAATAAATGTTCTTGTAAATGAATTATTTAAATTTGTATGGTGGCATATTTATGCCATCCACATGATTTTTTGTCAGCATAAGATATCGCGTCAAGTCAAGATAGCCATCTCGTCAAATCAAGATAAGTTGCTGGTTTTGTCGAAATACAACAATTTCTTATCTCGTGTATAGTCAAGATAATCTATCACATTTTGTAGCGAGATAATTTATTATGTATCATGACTAAAATTGTTGCGTTGACAAGTACTGCCGATTCATAGGTGCACTCATGATAACTGTATATGTACATGTACATATACTAGTATATAAAAAGACAAGAAAACATTGATGTTGCCATCAAATGTCGCCCGGGAAATAAATGAAGTAAAATCTTGATCAACAAACTGCTTCGACTTGTGTGATAAAGACATACGGCTGAATGATCGAGACCATAGTCGAGAAGATTTACGGAAAGCTTCTAATCGGATGAAAATCAAACAAAAATAATTACCTTTTTAAACTTTGTCATTTCCTCAAGTAAGTGTTGGCTGCATAAAATATAAACCAGAATCAGACAAATGTATCACCTATCATCAAAAATATATTTGACTTAATGAATATAAAACACAAACTGTGTAACGATGCGATAAGTAAAAAAAAGGGACCTGTCATTTTGTCGATAGTAAATAATAAGCAACTTTCTATATTTCATATGTAAAACATATATTTTTAAAGATGTACTTCATGGAAGTAAGTATATTGTGTATCTCGTAATTAATAAAGGGAAGGAACATTCTGATGTATAATCTTTTTAATGTATAGTTAACCTTTAATTCTGAATAACTTCTCTCACCTCAATCCCATACACCAAAACTTAAACTTAAATGTATAGAGCAGCCCGGTCCCTACAATAACGTGTTACGGGTGCCTCGGTCAATTTCCAATGAAATAGGTGGATATCTTCTATCAAATTGTTACTCTAATAAGTATTGCACGCATAATTTCAAAGGAATTCAGTTTTAACCGATGTGTGTTCAAACCGTGTCTTTGTTTTCAGTAAAATAAAATACAAGTACGTGTGAACCAAACCAATGAGCTTTTTTACTTAATTTCATGTAATATTTGCAATTATTAATTCAATAAATTTGCTATTCAATTAAAAAACGATTTTTTTATTTATCAGAGATCAATACTAGGCTATAATATTATTATCAGTAGTTTATAATAAAAGACTGACTCTTTGCATTAGTCGTTTTACTAATGCCATGCCAGTAACTAAGAAAAGGCCAAAAATGGAAATTATAAATTTTAAAGTACATGGGTTGTTTTGTTTCATACATGTAGTTAACGGAGAAAGTTTATGGAACGGTTTATATTCAACAATCTTTCTTTATCACTTGAAAATTATATTCTTCCGATAGACAAATACAAAAAATTATTTGATCAATAGCAGTGATGGATTTGAAGAATAATTTCAATAAAAGAGATCCGCATAGTTTCACTGGAAAACGACTTAGACACCCTTAACACGTCTTCTATATAAATACATACATACGTGTTATCGTGACAGCAATTACGAAGCTAAGAGACAGTTCTTGTCAACGCAACAATTTTAGTCATGATACATCATAAATTATCTCGCCATGTCGAGATAGCTATTGCAAAAAATAATGTGATAGCTTATCTTGACTAGACGAGAAAGAAGTTGGTGTATTTCGACAAAACCAGCAGGTTATCTTGACTTGACTTGATAGTTACCTCGACTTGACGCAATATCTTACGGTGACAAAATTTATTTGGATGGCATAAATATGCCACCTTAATTTTGTAATATTACATTATCCCCCCCCCCCCCCCGAATTTGATACAGGTTTAATTTTCAAGTAATTTGAATTCGTCATCGATTATGATTTAAAAAAAAAATTATGTTGAATTTTGTCTTGGAATGAATGCGGTTGATAAGACAATATGATTTGTTGAGTTAATTTTCATGGTGGCATATTTCTGCCCCTTTATGCAAGATAAATTATGTTAACATGCAACATAAGTATCTAGTTATGCGACTTAAATAACATTTCAATATGCAAAATAATTATTTTGACATGCAAGTTGCCAATCTTTTTAGAGAATCTAATTTTAATGTTGGTAAACTTACAGAAGCCAGTATATGACATCATACAAGCAAGATGCAACAGAATTATGCTGACATGCGACTTATTTACGTTAACATGCAACATATTTATGTAGACTTGCGACTAATTTATGCCAACAAACTCGTTTATTTAAATCATTCTGGACACATTGCAGACAAAAAAACTTCGCAGCGTAATGGTTAATGCGTATATTCTTACGCATAATCCGAACATTGGAGGGAGTTCGAATCATGCTTGAAGCTTTTTTCCCCCTTTTCACATATAAACCTTAAAACATGAGTGAAAAATAAATTATTTGTTAATAATTTATTCAATAAAATAAAGGAAGCAAAAGGGTAAAAGATAATATTGACAATAATTTTGAAAAATATAACTTTTTATGAACTTTTAGAATTGACAATTAATGTCTTTTCTCAGAGCGGGGGATTGTCCTTGTCTTGAACGGCTCCATTCTTTACATAGGAAATATAATGACAGAGGTAAAATTCCCCTTTAATTTGTATCCGACATCAGGATATATTATGACTTTCAAGTATATTTCCGAAATCAACTGGAATAATTTTCGTTTTTTGAACGTCTACAACATTTTCTGGACGCAGGCGCAGATCCATATTTTTTTTCCAGGGGTGGGGAATCAATCCCAGTAAAAAAAATCCAACCTAAAACTTGTTAACAAGGGGAAAAAATCGTTAATTTCTCTCCCAACTTGAAAAAACTGTTTCGAGGGGAGAGGGGTTTTCCCTCTCTTCATTTCTTAAACTTCGTAATAAAAAGGTTCTTCCTTTCAACTTAATAGGGGTCCACGTTCTAGGGAAGGGAGGGGGGTCATTTTCACTTACTTGCCTATATACATTTAATAACTGCAAATTCCAGGGGGTATCCTGACCCCCCCCCCATCCCCCACCCTCTCGATTTGCGCATGTGGACGTTGAGTAAATACAAAAATGGAGTTTCCGAGCACGATAAAAAAAAAGCCTAATCGGTTTCATAATGATTTACAAATTTTTTGTTAAGTATACCAAATAACCAGAGCTAAAGAAGAAAAAAGTATAGTTCATGTATTATGTGCTTTTGTGGGAAAATGACATTTTTCAAAAATATATTTTTAGTGGGGGTTTTTTCAGTGAATGAGAGAAAGTTTATCATATAGTCGATTTGCTATACCTCACAGGCCCGTAGGAAGCAATTTCACTTTGAGGGGGCACAACCATACATTTTCAGTTGGGGGGGGGGGCACTATCAACTACCAAAGTTCCTTGACAAGCCAAAAAAAAAAAAAAAAAGAAGGTCATCAGACGTTATTGAGGGGGCACAAACACATAGTATCCATATTTTCTATATATAGTTTACTATATATCGGCAAAATTATTTGGGGGCACGACACCCCCCCCCCCCTAGGTTCCTACGGCCATGCCTCAAACTCAAAATACAACAAACGAATGTATAAATGCAGGATATTCAAAACTCAACTGATGTTGGTCGAATGAATGCCTAATAAGGCAATGTTTCATGAAGAAATTTATTTAAGTAAGTTATGTAAATAATGCATGTCAACTTCTTGTACATCCCCGGTGGTGTAACCCCCCTCCCCCAAATTTTCATAGCATGTGAAATTAAATGATGCCGGCATCGTTTGTATAAAAAAGACTACTTAAGATCGAAATTATTCATAAGGAATGACTTTATCGTTTTCAAATCAAAAGTTACTTAACAAAAGAAAATTTTCGAAGTTGCAATATTTTATGTTTACGCCCGAACTTACGCCTACCCATGAGTAGACGTAAAATTTTGGCCTAACTTTAGTCTGGCGTAAAGATACGCTCTTTAGTGAAACGCAAACCTTCGGGCTAGTCCCGAATTTACGCCGACGTAGAGTTAAATGTACTACTGTGCGTACGACCTTTTATGAAACGGGCTCCTGGAACGTACCAAATGGTTGTCACATGTAATAAACTTTTTTGGTTTCGAAAATATATTTTTTACGGTTGTAAACAATATATGTTTTGCATTACAGTCTTACAATTACGAGAATTTAAAATTTACTATGACGATCAAATTAGAAATTCTCCGAATTCTGAAACTTCAATGTAATGCATGTTATAATTTTGGTCATTTTATTTTATATGTATAATTTTATGTATGGTATTTGAATGTGATTTGATTAAGATGTGTGGAAATAAGTTCAATATTAGATCCATGAGTTGAATCTTAGGGAGAGACACCGAGTAGCAACACAGGCCCCAGTTCTGCGATACAGGGTACAAATTACGCATACATTGAGACATCAGGGCGAAGTTCAGGTGACAAGGCGATATTGGCTACCACACTCCAATTTGAAAGTGAGTTTAACTTCTTATTCGTATCCTGGACTAGAACTGAATACTTCTTGAGCAATTATGAGGTTTTTAACTCCAAGAAAGGGATTGTGAAATATGTATTAAATAACTATAGCTTATGTTCTATATATCAGTCTGTGAAACCATTCATTCAGTCTCTTTTTTTATAATTGTAGGTGGGGAAAGATGTTTAACTTTCAACTACAATATGTTTGGAAGTAGCATCGGTGAACTGAGAGTATTGCAGAGTTCGTTGTATTCCATTGAACTTTTTTCTAAGATTGGTCAACAGAGCACTTCAGGAAGTGACTGGAAAACGGCGGGAATCGATATTTATCATGATGCTAATGATGCGGTTAGTAAAATAATTTGCCTTCTTTCTTTTTGATAAAGAAAGTCATTACTTTGCAGTAGGGGATGAAATCTGAGGAAGTATTTTTCACGTTTGTTTTTCTGGTCATCTTCTGGTTAGACTTTAGTATACTTGTATAAATTTTAATAACTCTGAAAATCCTTGGGTGAGAGGGGAGTCCGGACGCCCCGAACCCTCTTTATCCGTGCGTGCTAAATATGATTTTATCATTTGCTTTTTAATGTAGTACAATAAATATGAATTTAAATTTAAAAATATAAAGTTATTTATGTGATCCACAGTGTTTCACTGAATATAATAATGAAATACTAAATATGAAATGAATTCTTAAAGGGACCAGGACACAGTTGCATTGTTTTCATTTTAAATTTCTATGCTTATTAAAAAAAACAGTTAAATAAATTGAACTTACATGAATATTCTTCGAATTTGAATGACAACGACATTCTTCTTTACATCACGCCAAACATCTGTTTTTGTAAACAGGGCACGAGCTCTGTTACTGTTAACGTTTACGTTTCACAGGGTGTGTTCAATTTGTTAAACCCTGCACACATCACTGAGCACGGACTGACAATACTGGCGAGTTTGTTTTGCTTTCTCCCATTTCTACTCTGAATTGTCTGGATGATAGTTTTAATATTTTTCATTAATACACAACAAAAGAGGGTGTTGCAGTTCTTTTGTTATTTTCCCTAAAGTTGTAGCTATTTAAAAGAAAAATTTTAAGTAACAGAAATCGGTCTTAAATTTTTTTCAGATACAACTGTATATACTGTACAATGTAGAACAATATTTAGAAACTGCATATCGACTTCCAATTTGCCATTAAATGAAGTGTAAATTAGTTACATAGCAAAATAAGTCAAGTTTTCTCTTTTTCAAATAGGGAATCCCCATTGTTCTGAAAAATTGCCTTCTTGAAACAGAATGAATTTGATATACGCATAAAAAGACAGGATTTTTCTTCAAAACTGCCATTTCCAATTTTTGTTTCAAAGAGGCATATTTTTTAAAAATCACAAAAAAATCGAATAAAAATTATTATCCATCCGAAATACAAAATGTGCACATAAAATAGCACATGATACTTCACTGTCGGAGCTGGTATAGTGGTAAAGCGTGTGGACTCTATACAAAGATTCTTTTACCTGAGAGTGGGTTCGAATCCTGGAATGGCTGGTATATATAAAAAATTATACTATTTTTTTTTCTTTTATAATGAAAATACAATTTAACATCTCTCTTGAGATAGAAAGAGAGATGGACAGAATGTCAGGAATTTAATGGGTAATATTTTAAATGCACGCAGAATTAAATTGTTTTCCTTGATATTGTAATCTTAAACTAATAAGACATATATTTAATGTTATTATTTAGTGGCGATGCCTTAAAAAATAAAGTACTATCATTTTAAATATTTTAATCTTTTCATACGCATTTCGTTTTCATTATTGTTCTGTTAATTAGTGGCTCAGATTTGACTTGAAACAGCTAAATTGAAATTCTTGGATATTGAATCAACAGCGTGATTATTGGACACATTTTTATATATTGAAAAATATCAACGCACACTGTCTACAATACATCTTTCAAAATGATGTGCGAGGTGCACTTGCCATTAATTGTGCTTTTTATCGATCTAACTTTTCTCGTGCAATATGGCGAAAGTGACCATAGATGTGAAAAAAAGTTTACTTACAGGTCACCAGTGTATGTTAGGCAAATACTAAGCATGAAATAAACGTAAAATGTGAAATGTTTTGTTATAACAAGCTGGACATACCCGTCGTATAAATAAAGTCATCTACATGTACGTAGCATTATCTATATTTAGAGGCAACTCTTCGTGCGTCGTGGGTATTTAAATGTCCTTCTCGATTTAGGGAATAATCGCGAGTTTCTGCAACACCCTCTTTCTACTTTTCTTAATATAAGTATCAAGGATAAAATTTACTTTGCGAAAGTGCAAGGATGTATCAATTAAACATGTCCCGAAATTCGTAATTTCAACAATTTCCAGATAAAAGAAGTTTCTAAACACGCTTTTATTATTTTTCCATGTGAAATGCTATAGCAACATATAAGTCATGATATATAGAAAATTTGAGAAAAACTAACTTCAAATTTGTGTCCAGTCCCATTTTAAAACTCATTTTCATCTATGTACGACTTCCTTTAGACCAACTAGCCGTGTCCTGTCATATTTCTTTCCGATATCTTGTCTTATTGTAATGATATAAACCCCTATACCCTCGTTACACTTGAGTGAATTTTTTTATGGCCATCGACTCGTGCAAATCTCAGATAGTAAAGTATTTTGGAACGCATGAATTGATCAAAACATTTCAACCAAACAGACTTAATAGGTTGTAATGATATTTATGAATAATTAGTAAAATCAGTAAAACAGTTGCTCTGAAAAATGTTATTGAATGTTATTGAATTGTGCTTAAATATTTTTTCTGCCGAAAATTAAAGTATCAATGGAATTTGTCCCTCCGCTAGATACGGAGTTTTTTTTCTTCTTTAAATTTTCTATTTCATTAAAATATTTGTTTTTAAATAGACCGTTGGCATATTTAATGCGTGTTTTCTCTTAGGCAATTTTATGAAAATAATGCACCTATCTGATAGAAATATTTTATATTCATTTCCGTTGTCAGAATTCTATAAAATGTTGTGACGATGAAATGCTTAGTGTCTTAGCAGTGTATTTCAATGTTAATCTGACTTAAGATATGTTGCAGGTAGCATCAATAATTTTTGGTGTCCCTACAAATTTCAATCGACCAGTTGACTCCTACATTTTAACTTTCCTTTTTTTTTTTAATTTTTGAATTTCTGAACCAGTCTGAAAACTATACAGCATGAAAGACTGTTCTTTCTACATATAAAAATCTTATCTTCAATATGAGTTCTTCGTCGATTTACATAAAGAAGCACAGTTTTCACATAAGCTGTCATTTTCATCTTCTTGGTAGAGATCATTTTAAACAGTTTTCAGCTCAGTGTAGTGACCATGCCTATTTTAAAATAATTTTTTGCGAGAAAAATAGGGAAAATCATGGGGTTTTCTGTGAGTAGGAGCTTTTTGATTGGACGTTTCAACTGTGAAAAAATAAAATTAAATAGATATAAATTTACTTTGATTTACCGTTTGTTGCATTATTTATTGAACGATCCTCGTACATTCAATTTGAATAACGATGCTAAGTGGCTGTTTTATGTGCATGTTCAGGAAGCCTTTCCAGATTGGAGAATTTCCCACATGCAGTCTAAAATTTGGTACATATACTTTTTCCTGTATTTGGAGAAAATCTGAACAGCTAGGGTCGGATTAATCGAAACCTGCAAAGTTCATGGATAAATATTTCTTGCACATTCAATAGAAGTATGTTCTATATCTCTCTCTGTACAAGGGCAGATGGAGAATTTTGTCTGGGGGATGGGAGATGTCGAAAACCGCTCAAAAAGTTGATAAGGAAAAACAGAAAAACAAATTCCACACCTACACACCCAAACGGAGCGGGAACTAAACATGAAACTCTACTTCAGGGGAATGGGAACTTGTGGATCCTTTACATACTTTTCCGGGGGGATCAAAGTCATTTTTTGTTACTCTATAGCTATAAAAACTCTGAAGATCCCAGAGGGATCGGAACAAGAAATTTTAGACAAAGAACAGAGCTGTAGCAACGGTTTCAAAAGCGGGGGGTGCAACTTCCCAAAAAATCTGACCAAAAAACTATTCAAAAAGGAGGGGGGGGGGCATTTTCACAAATTATCTGACAAGCAAGAAAAACCCTAATTTACTGTCCAAATCCTTTAATTTGCCTGTGCTCGACCTTACAACAACAAAGTTGGGGGTGGGGGCAATCGGCATCTATGGAAAATTTTACTATAGCAAAATACTATACTCAGAAAAAAGTGGGTCCCCCCTGCGTTCTTCGGGCCTGAAGTAAAAAAAAAATTAAACGTGAAAAACTATTTTGGGGTGGAATATTGACACTTCTAACGCACTCGTGTAGTGATATTTCGCCTTTGATATTTTCCCTAGCCAAAAAGCTGATCGGTAGGGATCACGTGTGTCCAAGTGCTTTATAGTGACAATGTGTTTACCGTTGAGTTACAAATGAAATTTATTACTTTTGTGATGCATATTTCAATAAAAGGTAAGTAGAGATTTTCTAGACATGTGTACATCACCGATACAAATAGCAGTATTTCAGGTAGATGAGTTTACAGCATTCGTTTTCTCGACAGCATGCCAGTATATATTAATTCATTGTAAATGATGCATAGAATGTGCATCGTCCTTGCATGTGTCATGCGTATAGCTCTAACAGTATACACAGCATCTTCACAATGTCAAGGTTTTGTGATGTCGTTCCTCTTCACAAACCCTTGACAAAAGTCGCTATTTGAAAGCCGGGCTAGAAAGCTACTATTTCATTTGTTCCCGGTCTAGGCCTAGAACTAATTAGAAAACGGCCTTATTGAAGGTAAGTTTTGTAAACAAATACGACTTGTAAGCGCCAATATTGTGGGATTTGTGACTAGTTACGTCAAATAAAATATCATAGATTAATGTTTAGAAGATCCTCCTCCGTACAATCATAAAAGATATGCTCTGGCTTTAAGCCACTTGGAAACGACAGATTTAAAGATTTCTTCTTATTGGCTGGTTTATAATTAAGCAATGAATCATTATTTTTTGAAAGATATAGTCTCATAACTGCAACGGTGTGTGCAAACAAAAACGAGTAACGCGCGTTAGAGCGTTATGAAAATTTGTTTGCACACACCGTTGCAGTTATGAGACTATATCATTCAACAAGAGGCCCAAGGGCCTTAACGGTCACCTGAGTATAATACAACAATTTAGAGGATCCACAGAGTATAAAATGAACTGAAAGGTGAAGCTTTGTTGCCCAAAAGCAAGAAAAATAGGGTGATCAGGATCAACAATATTATTAGTC